TGCAAACTCATGTTTCACCATCAGTGACAACGGATAAACTAAGTCCTACTGTACTGATATTCATTTCTACGAGTGTACGGGAATAAATATTGAGCTTTAAAGATTTAGCAATACCGGGTATAATGCTGTACAAAATACATTAATTATACTAACTAAATATGGTATAAACTTAAATTGACTTGAACAAGTTGTTAGTATAACGAATGAAAAACACTATTGAACATGAATAGATCATTTAAAAGAGCTGCTTCCACACATTTGTGTTAAATATTTACTTTTTGTCTTTTTCTATCTTTTTGTAGAATTAAAGTAAAATACCTGACTTTTGTTTTTCTTCAAATAAGTGTCTTTGTGAATACTCCATGTGTTAAGATCCGTGGTCCTAGATCCCAGATAAACTATTGTAATGCCTTAGCTGATCAGGCTGTCACTGCTTTATGTACCTGTTAATTAAGCACAAAAAATCATGTTAGGATTTATTTTTGATTTGACTAAACTGTGTGAAATGGAAGATACTGATCTGCACTGCAGACCGAGTGACGTGCTGGTTATGTCTGAATCTCAGGATGACATAAATGAAAAGGACCTGATATTGAAATTGAAAAGAGGTATATCTTATAACGGTGTTAAAGGGATAGTTCACCCAAAATACTCAGTTACTTAAGATAAACCACACACCTTGTCAAACTGCTTTCAACCAGGTCTATGGTTTATCTTGAGTAACCGGGTCATGATTACTGGAAAGAGACATTGCTGTTGAGTTTTTGAAATGTGTTTTAATTTGGCAGACAACTCTATGGCCAATATTTCCAAAACAACTCACACCAAAACAATATAGATTGATAAATAGCGCGTTAGAGGAAAATTATGTATTTTTGATTTGGCAATGTACTGTCCCCTGTGTTTGAACTCGTCTGAGATAAGCCTACACACTAATGCTGTTATGCTGATGTAAGAAACGGGTGCTGAAAATAAAGCACTTCCTCTTGTGTCACAGAGTTGACATTTCTGTATGCGTCAGTGTCTATGTGTGTGTGTGTGTGTGTGTGTTAGTATTGTGCAGAAAGAGTGGTAGAGGCCAATGAAGCATTGCCCTTTAAGTCCCTGACACTTTGGTGTGATTGCTGGAGGCTGGGGTCAGTTATCTAGTTTTCCCGAAACATGACCATCCCAGCCTTTCACAGCTGAACTTTCCGGAAGCAGATGTTTACTCAACAGAATGTTCGCTACTCTGTTTAATGTAACGGTCCGATCTAACATGAGAAGGCATTTCTACAGGCATTTTTAAGCACAAATGCATAAAAGAGGCATGGCACTCATAGAAAGAAAGACTTAACTGGTACTGGGGTGTACTAGAGTTGTATTATGTTTTCTGTCAAATGAAAATTATTCGAGTGACTTAAAGTATTTCAGGGTGGGCTTGTACAATCCAAGTCTGTGGTCATGGACATGTAAAGATGTTGGTGTTTACAAGGCAGACAGGAATGCTAGGGAGTTGCTTTATGGGAAGTGTAGTTTCTTGCATTTTTGTAGCCTGATCCACCACAACGAGGTCATGTGGACCTGTATCTTGAGCTGAGTTAGTCACTAACAAGCGGCATGTATATGATACATCACCTTTTCAGTGAAAGCGTTAGAGTGTGTGTCAGTGTACGTCACCATTGTAGCACTGTAGTGACTATCCTCACTATTTCAATGTCTGTATATGTGTGGACTGGGTGGTTGTATTTCTCATCTATGCTATTTGTTGCACTGTGCTCATTGTGTGTATGTGTGTGTGTTTATTCGTTTTAAAGTTTGGAATATCGTATGTACCGTTGTTGCTGTTGCTAAGGAAGTGTAGTGGTTCAAAAGTCCAGAATTTGAGTATATTCTTGACTATTAGCAAGTATTCAGCAAAACATACAGTATGTTTTGTCTTGGGGGGAAAAGGCAGGTTCTTTCCCAAATACTGACTGAAAGGTCATGTTGCGATTGCAATATTTCCACAATGCAAAGCAGAACCAGCCTTTTTCTAGACCTTAAAATCAACACCCACACCTCAGATGTGTTGAGTGATTCAACTGAATCAAAAATGTTAACATGGAAGAATTACTCAGATCTCGAGTGAAACTACAGTGTAAGATACTCCGTTAGAAGTAAAAGTCCTGCATTCAGAATATCACTCAAGTACAAAAGTATTAGCATCAAAATATACTTCAAGTACCAAAAGTAAAGGTTCTTCCGGTACAGAATGGCCCAGAATAATATTGATTATATTATTGAATCATAGTTATTCATGCGTTAATCTGTTCATCACTTTAATTTTGCAGCTGATGAAGTTGGAGCTGATTTAAATTACTTTATATACTGCATTGTGGTTTAATCTATAATACTACATCATCATTTATTAGTTAATTATATTTTGTATTATTAATCTGGATCTGCAAAGCAACTTAAAATATTAAATAAATGTAGTGGAATACATTGTACAATATTAACATCTGAGTTGTAGTGGAGTAGAAGAATCAGACAATTAAAATGAAAATAAAAAAATACTCAAATACAAGTACCTGAGAATGTAGTTAAATTCCACCACTGTTAACATACATACATTTATTAACTAATAACTATACTTATTACCAATACTAATTACCAACAACTAATATTTTCAATATCATAATTCATAATTAGTCCGGAAAGTAAACAATAGAGCTTGTTTGTAAAGCAAAACATTTCCAGGGGAAGAACCCCCATACTGAGGTCCAGGCTCAGCATCAAATGTCCTGAAATTCTATACATTTATATATATTTGTACACATTTCTCAGTCTTAATAACTCAAACAACAACTAAAACAAATTTCTGTACTAGCTATAGCTGGATGCCTTTTTTTTTCAAGTTAGAGCAATGGCCCCTCAAAAAATGTTGAACTATCACTCACACACAGCAACCACTCTCACTCATGCACACACCCAAAGTGATGTCAGAGGTCACAGAGGGGAGATGGGGTGGAGTGAGTGAGTGTTTTAGGGTGAGTGTGTGTCAGAGAGGTGGGAGGGACAGTTTTGTGTGTATAAATACAGGACTGGGATGGACACCAAAAAGAAGAGCGCAAAGACACCCTGAGGGGCAACATTTCACTATACGTGTATAGGAAGAAGCTATGGCAAACATCAGAGGTAAGTTTACTATTTATTGTTCTATCTGTCTGTCTGTCTATCTATCTATCTGTCGTTAGTGCTTTTTGTCTATATATCTTGCTCCCTCTATCTCTTTGCAGTCCGTATTACAAACTGTATGGGAGATTTTTATGTGTGTGAAAAATGTGCTGATGCATGACTCGACACTTGGGTGTGATATGACCCATCCTAATTCCTGCAGCAAGTACAAGTCTGGCTAAGACAGGGATCCGACTGGCCAAAGGAGGCTACATTTAAAAGGAAATTTAAATATATATATTTGTTTGCTTTTGGCATACCACCATGTTACAGTATGTTGGTTGAGCTACATTTATCGTCAACATTTTGGGAAATATACTTATTCACTTTCTTGCGGGGAGGTAGATTAGAACATGTCTAATGTCTGAACTCGGAGACAGTTGGCTTAGGTTAGCATAACAACTGCAAACAGGGATACAACTACCATGGCTGTGTCAACGGGTAACAAAATGTAACCTTTAAACCTCACTAATTAACAGGATCTCATTGGTATCTCCGCTAGTTGCCTGGAAATGTCATAGTGATGTCAAGACTCCAGGAAGTCACTGAGCTTGGCATGGAAAAAGCAAACACATTTTCACACAAACCTCTGTTAGATCACAATTTGTCATTTTGACACATAGGTTTTTGTACGGATTAAACAAACAAAATATGACGTGTTTATCAGTGAGCTTTAGAGGTGTTGGTAGGTAGATGTTATTAGGCTTCATTCTTAACTCAGTTCAGCTAATTGTGTCCTTCATATTATTTACTCTACGGTGTTGTAATGATCTTCTCATCCAACTCTTGGCAAGAAAGTGAATGAGTGTATTTTCCCAAAATGTCCAACTCTCTAAAGGTGAAACTAGGTGAAATTCTTCTATCGCTGCCAATATTTTATTTGGCAACAAGACAGCCGACCACAGACACAGTTTATGGATTGTTAATCTTTTTCTCTTTTAGGTTTGATTATGGATGTGAATCTGAGAAGTCGGGAAAACAACTTGGCTCACCGCACCAGGGAGATCGATAGGGAGCGCCTGATTGTCCGCAGGGGTCAACCGTTCTCCATAACTGTGCAGTGCTCTGAGACTCTGCCTCTTAAACACCACCTGGAACTGGTCCTGCACATTGGTGAGTACAGTGTCACTGAGAAGATACTGCGGGGGGGTTCAATCTGAGCTAGTCTCCATTTACAAAGTGAATGGTGAACCCTAGCAAGACAAAAATATGTTCAACACAAAACAAAAAAACGTATTCAGCAAGTAGGTATACATTTTGACTGCAGTCGATTCAATCCTTCTACCAGCAGTTTAGCCTGTCCTCTGGACCGGAGTGTATTATTCTCTTCCAAGCAAGCTCCATCATTCTATAACTTTTAATAACTAGTCACTTTTACCAGATTCACTACCATGTCATTGCTACAGCAGAGCTTATTATTGAATCCCAACACTTAAATCATGTCGAACATGAACATGAAACACGTTTCACACTTTATTGCTTTACCTGTACCATAAATGCTGCTGTAGCGGAAAAAAATTTCCCCTTGCGGGATGAATAAAGTAACTATCTATCTAATATTAAACAGCTTTCGTAAGACAACCTGTGTGTTGCTAGATATCCTGAGCCCCATAAAAAAAGAATAGAGAACAAATGTAGTTAAGTTACAGTTAGTTAATAGTTAGTCAGTCCTAGAACCAAACTACAGTGTTCTTCTGTAAAGAAAAAATAATTCCTGTCCTGAATCCTCCATTTACTTTATGGTGATAAAGTGTATTTCCCTCACTTGTCCTACGCAGACCACTAATGCAATATTTTGTGATTCTGGCTCAGATAAACAGCAAGAAGCTGAATCGATGGTACAACACTCCGTTTCATGAACTATATAAGTGTTTTTTAATGTTTCTTCAGGTAAGAAAGACGAGGTGGTGATCAAAGTTCAGAAGGAGCGTGGGGCCGGAGACAAGTGGTGGTTCAACCAGCAAGGAGCGCAGGATGAAATGCTGCTGACTCTGCACAGTCCACCGGACGCTATCATTGGCCACTACCGTCTGGCTGTGTTGATGATGTCACCTGATGGACGCATTTTAGAGAAGACCGACAAAATGAAGTTCCACCTGCTCTTCAACCCGTGGTGCAAAGGTAAAACATAAAGCATTGTGCACACGCTGTCCGCTATGTGCTTTCTCCAAGAGGACTGACTTCACATTCACACACGACAGCTTTTAAACGTCATAATGCTTTGCCTGACATTTTTAATTTGTACTCAGTGTCACAATCGTGCGACAGGTTCAACCCATCTGAGCATTTATCATCACCAGCATCATCAAAACACCAAATTATGGAGATTCTCACAACAGTGTCATGTTTTTCTAATTGAGGCCCTCAAACGCTATGATAATAATGAAATAATTCATAATGCAAATTTATGTTGTTGTTTCTGCTTTGTGTGTGTGTGTGTGTGTGTGTGTGTGTGTGTGTGTGTGTACCAGATGACGTGGTGTACCTCCCTGATGAGAGTCTGCTCCAGGAGTATGTTATGAATGAAGATGGAGTCATTTACACGGGGTCCTGGGATAGCATAACGAGTATTTTCTGGAGTTATGGACAGGTAGCTCTCTTTCTCTTACACACACACACACACATGCACATAAACTGCGTGAATGGGTTGAGTACATCGGTGTCTGTCAGGCCAGTAGTTGACCTGTGCAAATTGTCACAGCAGTGTGACAGTGCACTTGGGTGCTTCAGCTGGATCAGGAAATGTGTTTGTTGGACGGAGGAATCTTCTGGATGGGAGGCGAGAGAATGTAACCAAACCACACAAACAAGGGCTTGTTCCTTCACAGCTCGCAGAGAGGAAGACAAACAGAGAGAAGGCCCAAAGACAGACAGACAGGGAGGTGGTTCAAGACACAGATTGACCGATGGGAAACAAATGTGATTTGAAATCTGTTTTAAAAAAGGTTGCGAAGCCTCTCCTGTTCAACAACCAACCTTACTTTGCTTTGCTTATCCCTCGTATTTTCTGTCCGTCTCACTGTGACTCTCTGTCCCTCAGTTTGAGGACTATGTGATGGACATCTGTTTTGAAGTCTTGGACAACTCCAAGGATGCCCTGAAAAACTCAGAGATGGACATCAAGCTCAGATCTGACCCTGTCTATGTCAGCAGGATAATCACTGCGATGGTGACGATCTCTTTCACTCTCTGCTATAACAACACTGAAGGTTTAACAAACTTCAACAAAAAAAGGCATTTTATTGTCTAAGTGGGAACATATGATACTTTACTGATCTAACCAATATGCGCTTCATAAAAGCTTTTACATTCATTGTTATAAACACCTGGGGAGAGTAGCTCCTTCCCAGAAATACCATCAAAACAGATCAATAGGACCCCAAAAAGGAGTTGTCATACTTACTCACTGTTTTACTGTCAAATGAACCCTACATACAATCATATACACATATTGTCAGAAAGATACGTGAAAATCTTACCTATTCAACCTTCTGCTTCATGCAGAGATTAAGATTTCTCCTCGACATGTTGTCTCCACCCGTTCAGGTGAACTCTAACGGTGACCGGGGTGTGTTGACCGGTCGCTGGGTGGAGCCGTACTCTGGTGGAGTCCCACCGTACAAATGGAACGGCAGCGTGCCGATCCTCCAACAGTGGAGCAAGGCCGGGGTGAGGGCGGTCAAATACGGCCAGTGCTGGGTGTTTGCTGCCGTAGCCTGCACAGGTGAGGCCTCCACAGATTTCACTGCTGCATGATTGAACGATCCCCATGAGTGCTACTGGCTGTATAAGGCATGTTTTTAGAGGAATATTTTGGTAATACCACTTATTTGCTTTCTTCACGAGAGTTAGCTTAGAAGACGGATACCACTCTCGGGTTCACAAAGAAATGTATGCATATTATCTAATTTTAAAAAAATGTGCAAATAGCACAGGAGCCCCGAGATGCTAGAATTACATGTTTTCTTATCGTCTACTTTGTGCAGATTTAGCAGCCGCAGAATAATTTTGTGAATTTGCCCCTCTGTACAGTGATTACGTAGCTGCAGCCAGCAGCTTAGCATAAAGTGTAGGTCTCCAATACTCTAAAACCTTAGTATCAACAGACAAAAGCCAATTTGGTGGGACAAATAAAAAAATGTAAGTAAGGATGGAAAGGAATGTAGGTAGGAACAGAAGAATGAGTTGTCCCAGTCTGATATGTGTTATGTTCACAGTGCTGCGCTGTCTGGGAATCCCAACACGCCTCATAACCAACTTCGCTTCAGCCCATGACGTCGATGGAAACCTCTCTATCGACATCCTGCTAAATGAAAGACTGGAGAGAATTGACGAAAGAAACAAGGCAGACAGTAGCTGGTAGGACCACACACACACACACACACACAGTCACACATAGATTCTGAATAACATTTAGTAGAAAACGTTCCATCATCTCATGTAATGAATTATATCCTCCATTCCTCTCCTCACGAATTTAGGAACTTCCACTGCTGGGTCGAGTCCTGGATGAGAAGAGGTGATCTTCCCAAAGGAAATGACGGCTGGCAGGTTTTGGACCCGACCCCTCAAGAACTGAGTGTTGGTACGTTCCGATTCTTAACCTAATCTCTGTTATTCACCTCTCTCCTACTTAACTGTCTATCTGTGGTCTCACAAGACATGTCTCACTGTGGCCACATTGAAAACTAAACGATGTACATCCCACCTGTTTATTGTTGATTTTCATCGCTTTAAACCGTTCCCAGGATTGTCACAGCTAGCTTTCTGTGGGACCATGATGTGATATTTTAGATCAGAGGCTGGTTGGTGTTTCCTATCAGCCTGATAATCAAATCGAAATACCATCTTTAAAAAAAATCATGCAGGAAGTGACTGAAAGAAATATGTACATCCACTCTTTAGGTGAGTTTTGCTGCGGTCCGTGTCCAGTGACGGCTATCAAGGAGGGAAATCTGGGAGTAAAGTACGATGCTCCGTTTGTTTTCGCCGAGGTGAACGCTGACATCGTCCAATGGATCATCCAACGCGATGGCCGACGACGGAAGGTGGATGTCTTTTGTTTTGATTCACACTCATATGTGCTCAAGTTAAAAAGCATCTGCACTTTTTAAAGCCAAAGAATAAAAAAAAGGAGCGGTGCTGATGATGATTGTTGTTGTCGTTACAGATCAAAGTGGACCAGGTGAGTGTGGGGAGGAATATCAGCACCAAAAGTGTTTACGGCAACCAGAGAGAAGATGTCACTCTACAGTACAAATATCCTGAAGGTTAGTCGGAAGGTCCCACACAGAGGAGTAGATCAGTGATTGCAGAAATTTACAGAAGCCATACTGATAAACTATCAGTATGTTATTGACTATAATCACATTCAGTTTAGGATACAGCATTCACCAACAATGTGTAGGCTCCCCCAGTTTAATCTTCTGATTGTAAGACTTGTGATTCAAGAGAAATCATAAAACTGATTGAGCATTTAACTGATGGATGCTCTGAAGCTCCATGCTTTCTGTAACTTCCACAGTTTAATGTGTGAAATATCTGCTCAGACTCATCTGTGCCCATGCTTAGGGTCAGTTGTCATTGACCAACATCTTCTCCACAGGCTCCAGGAAGGAGAGAGAGGTGTATGAGAAGGCGGGACGCCGGGTCACGGAGCCGACCAATGAGAGCGCAGAACCAGGACAACTGAAGCTGTCAATCAAGCATGCTAAGCCTGTATTTGGCACAGACTTTGATGTGATTGTTGAGGTATGTCGTGCTCTGACTGTAGCTGAATGAAAGGATGGATGACATGATAGAATAAGTAGGCTCAATTACGTCATGTATCTCATGTTCCTCCTTGTACGTGTGTTCTGATTTATGGACATTGTGTGGAATAACATGAGAGTGATCACATACAGCGGTTAGTCCATTCATCCAGTCATGAATCCATTCTGTCTGCAGGTGAAGAATGAAGGAGGCAGAGAGGCTCATGGTCAGCTGACCGTGCTGATCACCGCTGTAACTTACAACTCTATCCACCGAGGGGAGTGCAAGAGACAAACAGTCAGTGTGACAGTGCCAGCTTACCAAGGTAGCTCAAATTAAACACAAAAGGTCTCTGGTGCACCATGATATACAATTCTTTACAAAAAAATGTGTGTGTGTGTGTGTGTGTGTGTGTGTGTTCAGCCCACAAGGAAGTGCTGCGTCTGCACTATGACGACTATGCCAAGTGTGTCTCTGAACACAATCTGATCAGGGTGAAAGCCCTCTTAGAGGCTCTGGGAGAGAGCGAGCCCATCATGACCGTGGCCAACATCCCACTGAGCATGCCTGAACTCCTCGTACAGGTGAATACACACTGAGCACGCCCAGAGGTCATAGTAGCATTTAGAAGGTTTAATATGCTTGTGTGATGTGTTTATGAAAGGTAGAGGACTGATTAGAATGAAACTACGAGTGCACGTCTCAGTTGATCTAAAATAAGATTTACGTAAGAGTTTGATTTTTCATAAATGAGATTTAACTGCAGGAGAAACATCTCACAAATCATTCTTGGAGGATGTTTCAACAGATTCAACAGTCGTGGAAAAAATGTGTATGTAATTTAAAAATCACCACATTTGTGGGCCTGTTTGATATCTAAGATCTTAATGTTAGCTTTCAAAATGTTATTCCTTGACCCCATTTGGTTGAAGTTTCTGTATATAACCACACGAGGACTTATTTGCAATCAGCTGACATCTCCTTGGATTTCTGAACTTTTCTTGGAGCACAGCAACCATTTTAGGAACTGAAGAACCTTGCCTGCAATTTCCCTGAAGAACCCAGGCTCTAGATTTAGTTCCTGATGTTTGATATTTTGTGACTGTGATGTCCTACATTGTCATTTGTACCCTGATCAGACATCTGTCGTCTATGTTCCAGATGCCTGGGAAGGCTGTTGAACAGGAACAAGTAACAGCCTTCATCTCCTTCACCAATCCTCTACCAGTTCATCTGAAGGGTGGTGTGTTCACTATGGAAGGGGCCGGCCTACTGTCGCTCACTGAGATCCCTGTTAAGTGAGTACTGAGTCAGCCACCTTCACTGCAAAGCATGTGTAAAGAATGGACAGGCAATATATGACATCACTGCATGTATCACACACACTAGAATCAAAGACAGTGGTTATATCTAATCATCCTTTCAAAACGTACATTTATTTCCAACGTTCAACTGATGAAAGTCCGTCGCTGTAACCTCGCAAAAAAGTTAGTTAGAGAGCGTGCAGGATTTTGTTTGCAACTTTTGATCTATTCCTCTCTCTCCTACGCACCTGCCTCGTAACAAATGTGCAAAGTCTTCTGGTTTGAATATCTAAACATCCAAAAGGAATTGAAAGATGAGGCCTGGTCTCCAAAAACTTTGAAGTCTATGTTAGAAGTCCAGATGCACAATGGATCAGAAATTTAGTATTTTCAGTTCAAAAACTAGCTTTTGTAGCCGGTCTAGCTGTGTTTGATCAGTGGGTCATGTTGTATGATAACTTTCAAAATTATAAACTTTTAAGAAGCCACTGCCTCGATTGTCATTCATGCTCCCCTGAGGATGACTCTGAAATACTTTTCATGTAGCGATGGCAACAGATCAAAACTACAATATAAAACTAAAGCATATATCTTTCTCTCTCCCTCTCTCTCTCTCTCTCTCTCTCTCTCTCTCTCTCTCTCTCTCTCTCTCTCTCTCTCTCTTTCAGTGGTAATATATTTCCCGGCCAGAAGGTGTCTGTCAGGCTCTCGTTCTCACCCATGCGGTCGGGGGTCAAGAAGCTCCTTGTGGACTTTGACTCTGACAGACTGAAGGACGTGAAGGGAGTCGCCACTGTGGTTGTCCACAAGAAATACCGCCCTGTATACACTGGACGTTATTGAGAACCTTTGAGCTGACTGGGACACGACTCCGCGGTGGGTTGGTTGATGCTGGAGGCCCCGCGGTCATTTCATCTGATTTTGCCGGATTCCAACTCTGTGGCACAGATGACGAGTATTAAGAATAACTATATAGAAATAGACATCTTCTCGCTGACGGTCCCATTTAATTATGTAAGTCATCAGTATTAAATTGAGACAGTTTGAGATGTGTCCTCCAAGATGACTGTGACCTTATCCACTTAGAAATACTGGATACAGTGTTTAAGCCCCTATGTGTCAGATTAGAACATTTCTGACTTTGTATTATGCCTGGCACTACATGGAAATGCACAGAGGTGACGCCTCTAGAAATAATGTAAATACAGAATAATTTGCTTTGTGTTTATGTTCCTCCTCTGTACCACTTCATTTATTTATTTCTTACTTGACTGAATTGCCAAGTTTCCTTCCATCTTTGTTTTTTTCTCCTGATCAGCTTTACAGCTGATTTTTGGTCCCCGATAATGAAATGACAACCATCAGGGCCTTCAGTGGTTAAAAACATTGTGCTAAATGCGTTCTTTTGCACACTTGTTGAAAAGTGTCTGACTTCACAAAAATGTATGTTTCATGTCTTGCTTCTTAGGTCCCTTATTGCATTGTTTTTTAATTTTAATTTAATTTAAATCAAAATATGATTGGAAGAAACCAATCATTTCATATAATTTAATCCTAATATGATTATGATTTTTATTATAATTCTGTGTTCAAGCTGATAATGATACATGCTAGCATGCTTTCAATAAAAATAATCGTTTCACCAGTATTCACTTGATGGCATGTTATTACTGTAACACTGATGTCTGAGCGAGGCGAAGGGATGTCTATCTGCAACATTACTTTAAACTGTACAGAGGAAGTCATTCTACATCAGAGGGACTCATACTGTCACTCAAAGAGTTGGAGTTTAAAATAGTGTAGGAACATAAGATGTATTAAGTGGTCCTGGTTGAAACAACATTTATTGCTTTCATCTGCAGAGATTGAACGCATCTATAAGAAAAGTTGTTAAACTTCTGTGAGCTGTGAAGGAACAAGCTCTTGTTTGTGTGGTTTGGTTACATTCTCTCACCTCCCGTCCAGAAGTTTCCTCATTCCAACAAACACATTTCCTGATCCAGAAGAAGCCCCAGAGTGTCCGATGTCACACCGCTGTGACACTTCACACAGGTCAACTACTGGCATACTCAAGCTATTCACGCAGTGTGTGCGTGCGTGTGTGTGTGTGTGTTTGTGTGTGAGAGAGGGAGCTACCTGTCCATAACTCGAGGGAATACTGTTGATGTTGATGTAATCCCAGTTCCCCATGTAAATTACTCTCTAATTAACCTTTTATTCATCTAAAATGAATCTTCTTTCATAACGTACTCTTGGAGCAGACGCTCATCAGGGAGACACATCACATTATCAAAACAAGGAGTTTAATACGACTTCTGGTAATAGGCTCAACTTATTATCCAAATGTTGTTTTTAATATTGCTCACATCTTAGTGAAAGCATTTATTTTGCTTGAGAATGTATGAGTGAGGAAGAATCACCATGTTACAGTCTGTCAGTGCACAGCAGAGACTCAGAGGCAACCTTTTTTTTTGTTGATTAAAACTTGCTTGATCTGACTACACATAACAGCGATGTAACAACTACATAATTATACAACAGCAAGTAGGATGTCATTGGTTACAAGCGGACTGTGAAAAGAGCTCTGTATTGGCATTTACTTATTAAGGAAATATTTAGTTAGTTATTTAGTCGGAGTTTGACGATTAACCTACAACCAAAGTCGGGTCATTTTACCACTACAGCTAAAGCACCAGCAGAGAGAGCAACAGAGCCGTGCTTAAAGTTGAGCCCTTGTTGCTATTGAATAACATGACGCTGTCTTCTAGTCAACAGTCTAGCATAAATACATAAACCTAAAACTAGAACCATCTATCTATACTGTTGTTTTCACTTGCAGTGTCTCAGGTCAGGATGGCCGAGCGGTCTAAGGCGCTGCGTTCAGGTCGCAGTCTCCCCTGGAGGCGTGGGTTCGAATCCCACTTCTGACATCGATGTTTTCTTACATTTATATAAATACCGTGTCGGTTTCTACACACTTACCATACATTGTGTTTACGACGTGTTTTACCCATACAACATAGTTTGCCATACATCTGACCAATGTACATATTAATATTACATATTCAATACAAACCGTATTGTCCATTTTAGTGGAAATTTGTAATTGACTTCTTACACCTAAGCAGAATAGAATAGGCCAATCAATATGTAGGCCTACCTCCATAAAGAAAGAAAAAAAATCTGCTTAAAATAGAGATCAATAAATACAAGTTGAGATATATTTATTAGGCTATAGTCATTTATTCTTGGCTGTTTTTGTGTGTTCATATTGTCTTTGTACGGTCTGACCCATATATGACATCGTGTGTGTTTAGTAAAAGTGATGGAGTGAATGATGGTTGCTATTATACTATTTTGTTTTTCTTTATTTTGGACTTTCAATGTTAGAAATGAGATGAAACATGTTTTCCAGTAGCCTAAAAGACTGAATCAGTTTCACTTTGACACAAAAGTCTTCCTCACCGTTGTTTTATTCCGATTCCTTGTAGGAATATCTTGATTTTGAGTTACACATTTATAGCATTCTACCAGGTCATATGTGTCATTCATTAAACTCAGTGCAACAGCACATCACCCATTTGTCTTAACATGATACATGCGGAGGACAAATATGAACATACATCAACACCAAGAGGGTGTCACTGTGTCAATTTCTGTGTGTTTTTTCTTGTGTTCACCTCCTCCTGGTTTTCAAACACATTAATGAGTCACTCTGAGTCAGAGACCTCTGACAGATATATGGGAGGTGCTAGGGGGAGATAACGACGGTAAAAGAGGGAGAGACTAAAGCAGGATGATGAAATACTCACTGTATGTGTGTTTGCATGTGTGTGTGTAAGTGAGAGAGAGAGAGAGAGAGAGAGAGAGAGAGAGAGAGAGAGAGAGAGCGAGAGAGAGAGAGAGAGAGAGATAGAGGGCAAGGTGTACAGAGACTCACACACCAGCACCATTAGACACCTGTCAGTGCAGGTGGAGAGAGTAACTGCTGGATATCGGAGCCTGGAGGTTTCACTGGAGGGCTCCTCTTTAACTCTCTCGACAGTTTTCTTTTTATGACTCTAAGGACTTTGTCCATTTGTGTTTTATTTAATATTTGTGTTTTGGACATAACTTAACTTTAATCTGAAGGTTCAGTCTTGCTGTTGCCATCAGTGGATGAAGTCAATGGTTACTGAATCCCAACAGTCAGGTGTTCTTTGAGGAGTAAAAAACTGTTGGAGGAGGAAAGTTTTCCTCACAGACTGCATCTCATCCTCAAGGAGTTTGTTGTTGCTGCTGTTTCTGAGACACCCGTCTTCAGCGAGCTGCGTGATCATGGCAGACTTCCCGTCCAAGGTTTCCACGGAAACTAGCTCCCCCAACTCCCAGAGCGCTCAGCAGGGGGGCAGCAGCCTCCGAGGGATGGCCGCCGACGTCACCACTATGCTGGACATGTCCTTTATCCGAAGCATCCCGGCCATCCTCATGATGGCTGAAATAGTATGTAACAGACGCAGAGCTGTTCGGTTTCTACTCGATTCAACTGTGTAACTACTATTCTATTCTAATGTATCCGGCTCTCATAAAACGCCAGCAATGATATGTTGAAGAGCCACTGTGTGGATAGGGTAATCCAACCTGTTGTACCTGTCATTAGTTAGGATGAGTTAAAGGCAAACCACACAACATGATAAACTTGTCATCATGCAGTCAACATTACAGCAACTGCGGATAAAGATATTTGAATAGCTTTTTCTGATGCCACAGGAATTTGAATGTGTGTCAACAAGCTTCAGCCTCTGCTGTTTTGCTTGGCGGTGTGCACACACGGTCATTTTCTGCTCAAATTAGCAACTGGCATAGAGCTGAGAGCTGAAAATGACATTGATTGAGGCATTTCTGAGATAGAATTTGATCTGAGAGTCAGTGGGAGTGTTATGTTTGCTCTAATGCAGGGTAGGAAAACAGTACTGAGCTTCAGCTCAAACTCATTTCCCCTCTCCGGTGATGTATTTGCATTAAACTCTGTCCACACAGAGGACATGTGACTGGAGATCTTTGTCCCCTGAAGGCTCTGTCCCCTCCTATCACACCCCTCTGACCATCCCTTCATTACACTGAACCCATAGCTTCTCCTTTAACTCATAGGACCCTAGCCCTATTTTTAGGCCTCTGCTCGAAAATTGCATAGCCATACTCAAGAGAGTCCCGAGCTCTAACTACAAGGTCTATTTAAAAAAATGTGATGCTAGAATACTGGTAACACTTGTGAGATGTGTTGAATTGTGTAAATATTGTGTATATGTTACTGATTAATAACTGATACACTTATGGCACAGCTCAAATTGGAAAAATTTCTAGGTTCGCCTGAAAAAAAGCACTTGTATTGAACATTTTTTTTTTTAAATAATGCAGCTGCAAGCCTAAAAACACGCCACAGACATAGAACACGTTTTACATGTCCCCACAACATATTTTACTTCGATTGAGTGAAGCAGGCCAGCATAAATGGTCATAAATATCAAAATTTAGATTTTCGGAACCAGCTGTTGCATTGCTGTATACTAATTTTATATACTATATAACTAAATATTAACTATATAGTCACTTTTCTTATCACTAAGAGTGTTCAATAATCCTAATAAATCAGTTTGACACCATTTTGAATAATTTTGAGCAGTTATGATGTGTCATATCTGTCATTCATAACAATAAATGGCTCATAATGTGTGTCTATGTGACTTTGGTAAGGCCGATTTACTCGTGTGAGACATTTTTAGATGCGGGATAGTCCAACGGGAGCCATGCAGGGGTGTTTGATCGTATCCGGGTCTGTTTACTGACTAAAAATCGCAAAATGCTGGGCGAACCCCCCTCTCTACATGGATTGCTCCACCCCACAGAATCGTCTGCCATTTTGTGATTCATTCCGCCAGCGCATTGATCTCACTCACGGACATGCAGCAGAACATGGCGGGCAGAGCTGTGCAAAAATCGGCTCGAATAAATCCGTTTTTCATCGCCAAAACCGTCAAAACGTAAGTTTTTTTTACCCAATTATTTTTCTCGTGACCTGCGGCTGATGTTGGCGTGCATACCCATAACTTTTGAACGGTTTGAAAGAGAGTAATTTGGACGCCGCTGTGTGTTTCCGGGTCGAATCGTGCCCCTCCTGCATGTGTTCATCCGCCATGTGCGATCCTGCTCCGTGATGAGAGAGCCATAGAGTGAGCATAGGTCGTCGATTTTTGGCCAAAATTGTGGCAAATCTTCTAGATATCTTCCAGATATGATATTAGTTCATGTATAATTGTGTTTGCAGTGTTTACAATGGCTGGTATGATGATGTTGCTCGGACTTTTCCTGTTAATTCGGTATTTAATATGTCTGGAGCAATAATCATATTTCTTTATGAAAAATGCTTTCTACGACACGCTGAGTGCTGCACACTCTAAAACAGCCCCCCGTGGGGGGCTCTCGGGTCCTATGTTAAGGACCGAGCTACAATGTTCATTCTGTAAATTATGGGATTGTTAAACATGTGTTGCCTCTCTGTGCTTAATGAGTGGCAAGCTTTTATTGGCTTTTGATGGCATTGTAGTAGTCGGGCCAGTTATCTAGCAGCATCAAAAAGTTGTTTATCTCTGGTTAAGTTTATGAGGTGCGGCAGGTAAACCCTGAGGTGAAAACGACAACTACAAGGGTCATCGTTTCAGCCCAACTCTTGGTGAAAATAAACAGCAACCTTGGCCTGTGATGTTTCTGGTATAGTGTGAACGGATAAACAGGCTTATTCCAATGTGAATACACCATTAATACTAAACTAGCTTGACAGTAAATCTTCATGGCCAGATTTGACCCATACAAGAGCATCGTCTGTACAGGCATGTTGATCATTTGTATTGTGGCACTTTTAGTCTCAGGGGATTTGTTTTAATCAGGTCATCATTTGAGCTGCACCTGACTGAACTGTGTTAAAAATGTCTAATTTTGCTGACTTGTCCCAGAATGAGTAAGAAGAGAATTTCAAAAAGGTTGGTTAGACTTTTCATACTCAAGCTAACCATGGGCAGGTTTCAGTAAAACCGGATACATATTTAAATGATGACACTATTTCCATAATTACACAATAATATGTGTGTGGCAAGGTAATTTTCCATTTTCCTCACCCATACTTGGGCAACAGCAACAGAAAGGGAAGAGCAAAGGAGCAAAAAAAAAGGTAAGTGGCAGAAAAGTGATTTGAAAATGTTTCGAAACCAAACGTCTCTCCTTTCTACGTCACTGCACTCATTCATCTGCAGTGTGTATATTCATAGGAGAGCCGGTATCCTTTTTCAAACGTCCAGCTCCTAATGCAATATTGATAAATAATATGCCCAATGCATTCAGCGTAATAAAAGACATCTGCATAATAAATACATACTGGAACTTGTTGTAGTGTGCATGGTTTAACTTGATGGATGCTTAAACGTCCTCCTTATCACACAATTAGACATTATTTCACCTTTCTCCTGAGACTGATTTGTCCATAATTACATTCAGTAGTAATACAAAGGTGGGATACATATGTCTAATTTAAGTTTGTTAGTTTCCTGCGCTAGTAATTGTGTTATAACCCTTAGTGCCCTGGCAGTGTGCCGATATTAATTATGTAATAGATATGCTGTGGATCTTGGTGGGAACATTTTACAGTTTTAGTCAGGACGTTAAGATTATCTGCTGCTGCTCTAGTTCAAAACAGAGCGCTTTGTAAAGGTCAACATCGGTGTGTGTGTGTGTGTGTGTGTGTGTGTGTGTGTGTGTGTGTGTGTGTATATCAGGTGTGTAAAAAGTGAAACTTGATCTCTGCATACATAATAGACTGTTCTGTCGTGTCCTTTCTCGTGGGACAGAAGCAGAGAGACACAGAGGCAAAGAGAGGGGCCTGGTGGTGCGGTTTCTGTCTGCATGACGTCTCTGTTTTAAAGAGCCTATGTGAAAAATGTTAGGCATGAATTTCAGATATAAATGTACTGTATACTATACAGACCCTGACCAACGATGCTGGCAGCATCTATCACTCTATATATTACATTGACCATGGTTTATGGGAGGTATGGTTTTGTTGAAATAAATAGTTGCTGGATGGATTCCGCATACAGGCATTCATGTTCTCCAGAGGATGAATCCTACTGATGTTGGTGATCCCCTGATTGTTCCTGTGGGGCTACCAGCAGGTTGACATTTGTCTCTAAAACTATTGGATGGATGGCCATGACATTTGGTCACATTCATGTTCCCCTGGGATGAATTGTAATGACTTTTAAATCAATTTATATTTAAAAAGTTCAGCAGCCAAATTCACAAATTCTAAGCATTTGTAGATAAAAGCCAAATCAATAATCATGGTCAATGGTGAACACATATATTTCATTAATTACAGAAACATGAATTTTCAAGCAAAAATTAGTTTTGTAATATGATTTAGTTAATTGTTGTGACAGCAACAATGTTTTTTTTCTACAGCATGATGATGCTTTTTGTATGTATTTGCGGTGATGGCAGCCAGCTATAGCAGAATAAAGCTCTTTCTGTCGTGACAGTACTACTATACCGAAGGCCTCTCCTTTATCTGAAGACAGCAGGTATCCGTTCCTTCTGCACTCTCTTACTGGAGTGATGTTGCGCACTGTGAAGTTTGCGCAAGGCAGATCCGCTGGTTACATTTTGTGCAACCGGCATCAGACCGTTGTAAAATAACTACAGAACCCCTGCGTGCTTATGTGCACATCAAACATGAACTTGACAGTGTGTAACATCATTCCAGCAAGAGACTGCAGATGGCACTCAATATTAATTGAGCAGCAAGTAACTATTTGCTATGTAAAGATATAGTGGAGTAATGCAGCCTGAGCAGAGAATGAAGTCGCTCTCCCTCTCTCCGGGTGTTATAAACCGAGCTTATCTGTTCTTTGTTTTGGTAGAAGGCGAGTCCCTCCCTTCATGTCCCACTAGCTAGCTAATCGTCACCACTCTGCACTGCTCTCATATAGCGGTTACCGCTAACAACGCGTCATCGTGGAAGCGTAACGCCCACACTACTCAGGTCCTGTTGGGCTGTGAGCACCGTTAGCCACCATTGTGGCTCAGTCACTTCCATGTTGGCTTGCGATGTCACAAAATATATCCCCGGAGGAGGAGGTACTAACACTTTAAATGCACATGTGAATATTTTATCGTAATTGGAAAAGATGCTAACCTGTCCTTTAACAGTTGTGTTAGGATGCAGTTGTGTGAGGTAGAGGCTTGAAGTTGTCCCCGACGTGGTCTCATTAACACATATTTTATTCATTTGAAAATGACTACTTTTCATATATTAACAGTTAATGTCTTTTAATGTCAGTAATTCAACCCTCTCTCTTCTTAGTTGGCTTGTTTGCTCTCTCTCACCTCTCTAGTTTCTGGGGCTGCTCCAGTGGGCGTTGATAGCCAGCGCTCCCTACACGTGGGTGCCAGCCTATGGCTGGGTGATGTTTGTGGCCGTCACCCTGTGGATCCTCACCACCATCCTCTTCTTCATGATCCTGTTCGGCGCCCAGGAAAAGCTCACCTTCGTCCCCTGGCCCCTGGCGGTAGGATGGGATGAAAGGGAATGGGAGAGGAAGGGAAGGGAGATAAGTGGAATGATAGGTTTTGAGAGTGGTATTCCAGGGTGTGGAGAAACTAGATCAAATGTACTTTTATTCATCAGTTTCTGGCCTTAAAGCCCTCTTTATAACATTAAACAGTGATGGCTGAATAAACAATCTATAGTTCTATGCTATTATTTGAGAGGAATTTGATACCTAAAAAAATCTATCCTACTTCAAACCTACTTCAAACATCTTTCATGTGAAATCTTCAAAACTAAAATGATACCATTGACACCACTGAGTCTCCGTGGGCTGTTGATATTAGTTATATTCAGATTCAGACTGAATAAGGCACACTCTCTCTCTGCTGTCTCCTAGGCAAGACATTAGGGCATTTGGTCATTAAATGCATTGATAAATGGTTCAAAAACAAGACGAAGGCAGAAGGATTTACGCTGAAGTATCCCTGTCAAGGATCAAGGATCAATCGAGGTTTGATCAAATGAAGAGGCTGACGAAATAGGACAGTGAAGTAGGTTATGAAAGGAGAATTCCAAAAGACAATAGAAAGGTGTGGGCCAATAGACAAAAGGGGACACAGGGACAGAAGCTTTCAGATGGAGTGTGGCTAATGTTTCTCCTCTTTTGCTAGGTGATGGCGTATCACGCCGCAGCCGCGGTCCTCTATCTGACCGCCTTCCTGGCCAACGCAGCATCCGTGCACCCCTACCGCTACTACACCAGTTTCTACGGACATATGGCAGCTGCCGCCGTAAGACGCCTGACACCACGAACACTGACTCGCATACAAAGACCTGGTTGAATATGCAAGAACCAGTCGGACATTATTCTCTAATAATGTGTCTGCAAAGGCAAATCCCAGTGAGAAGAAACAAAAGTTTGGTCACCAGATAAAAAATCTAGGCCTGCAGTCCTCAGTAAGCCAAGGTTTGAACACTGTACATTTCCTGCCCCACCTTCTTCCCTATCACTGCCATCACTGTTTGGCTAGGTGTGTTCCTGATAGCAGGTTTAGTTATCAGGCGGTGGCAGGTAGACACACACTTCCAACTTAAGATGTGAAAGAGGCAGAATAAGACGCACGGTGATGCTTTCATATTGCTGACATGGCTGCAGCGTGTCGCGTGATTCGACATTTTTTTAAGTCCAGTTACCTTTGTACCAGAGCTGCCACTAGCTCCTCCCCTCTGCCGAGTCAATGTTCAACCCAAAAGAATTTGGAAGCAGGGTATCATATGGGGGGTGTGTGTGTGCGTGTGTGTGCGTGTGTGTGTGTGTGTGTGTGTGTGTGTGTGAGAGATCACCAGTGTCAGGAAAAGCTTGCTGGATATGCTGCTTCATAGTCTTTTCCACAGGCTAAAGTCCATGCTGGTTTACAGCTACGGTAGCATTTAGCACACATGACTTCACACCCACACACACACGGCCTATAGGCCCCTGTCCTATCACACACTCTAGTCAGCTCCATTTTATTGCCTCTGAGGCACACCGGTCCAGATAAATTAGCATTTAGCAGGTATAATGGCCAATTAGGACATTGTTAAAGTGATTGAATCACAAGTACCCGGGATCTTTATAGATCTGAATATATAAAGGCGTAAATCTTTGATTTATTTCGACTGTTGGACTTTTGCCCTGCTTCCTGAAGTCATGTAAAAAGGTATAATTGTATCTCTTCTCCCCCTTTCACTTCCTCTGAATGTCTCCCTCCCTGTTTCTCTGGCTCTTTGTCCGTCTGTTCAGTTCTTTGGTGCTGTGGTGACCTTGGCATACGGTGCCAGTGCTTTCTTCTCCTATCTGAGCTGGAAGGGAGATGGAGGGAACGCTGCCACCAACACAGTGCCGACCTAGGACTCAAACATGGGATGCTGATCTCCTCGTGTTTTCTGTCCCTCAAGATGCTGTAGTTATTCGGATATTCTACTTGATACGTATGACTGCTGACTCTGGTAACCCAAATCCTGACCTCTTCTCAACCCCAGTATTAACAATAAGATGAAACCTTAGATATCCTCTATTATATTAGTTTTTTTTTCCAATTACTTTTGCCATCACAATATGGAAAGAAAGTGTAAAACACAACAACACAATATTTCTCTGAATTTAAGGCCTGCACTGAGGCCTCAAATTCAGGCGTTCCTGAAATCATACATTTAATGATGCTATTGTAAATATGCAAATATAGCAGACAGTGCCTTGAATTCTTGTTAATCGCACAGCCTATTGGCATCATATAGTTGCCATCACCTCCGGGTTGCATTTAGAATGCACAAATGTCAAACTCTTACCTTCTTAGACAGATTTGTATCACTCTCAGGTCTGTACGATGAAGCTTCAGCACCGGCAGCAGCCGGTTAGCTTAGCCTAGCATGAAGACTGAACACAAGGGGAAACAGCTAGCTTGTTTCTGTCCCCCTCACCAGCTCCTCCAAAGCTCACTGATTCATTTTTGTTATATTTGAACACAGCCAGGCTAGCTGTTGTTTGTGCTAAGCTATGCTAACTGGCTGGCGGCTGTAGTGTCATACATGTTGTATCAATTTTCTTCTCTTACTCTTTGCATCTTCCCAAAATGTTAAACTACTCCTTTAAGGTTCAGGTCACCCAACTATGGACGACTTTACAATGCAAACTAAATAATTTCAACTGCAGAGGAAATGCAGTTTTTTGTTCATATTCTGAATGACATACTCTGCCATTCTAACAAATATAAGAACATTGTAAAACATGTTTTATACAATGGGATCCATTTTGTAAACATTTCCTCCAGTGTGTGGTACTATGACGTGACTTTTATCAAGGAGACAAATGAAGATCCACAGTTATTGTTTTGTATTTCTTGTTTACAGAGAGCAGTATGTGTTGCATTGGTTAGGCTGGTTGAGCACCACTGTAGGACTGTCATGACCGGCTCCACTCCATGATTTTGCTTTCTGTGACGCTCATATTGGGAAGTTGCTCTAATACCAGAACATGGCCGTGCAGAAGGTGTGGAGAATGACTGTTTGCTAAGTATCTCTGTCCTGCAGAAATCCAATTACATTGTCTCTCCTGGATATACAGGCTCAGGTTGACACTTAAGCTCTCCATAGACCAAGCCAAAGCCCTGATAACGAATTGAAAAATGTACATGGGGAAATGTACTCTCTTGAGTCAGGCATGTTATAAAGACGCAGGACACTAATGACTCTTTGCTGTGGAAAAAGGTGTGTAACACACATCCTTTTGATTTTCCAGATACAGTGCTCAACTCCTTTTGTATGTGCCTTTATGACAGTGTCTTTTTGTACCAAGAATTTGAAGACTTGTGAAATGCAGTGGCGAGTGCTGCAGCTCAAGCCTGCACTTGTTCCAATAAAGCACTAGGTGATGTCAATGTAAGGCTTGTACCTGTTTATTTAAAATATATATTTATTAACAAATGAAACATCAGCAGGGACATAAGTGTATGTTTACAATTACAGCTGTCATGTTAAAACGAGTAGAAAATACTTTGACATTGTACTGAAAACTATACTGTAGGTCTTATTCTCAATTGCAGACACATGCACACAATCACTTAATACATTAAAAATCACTTTCAGGCACCAAACTCAAAGAGTTTTCAAACTGACCAAATAATTTAAAACTTCATAAAACAATAATTCAGCAATATTCTTTTCTTGTGAAAAACACACACCAGGCAAAGAGAGCAGAGTCAAACATTCAATCATATCAAATTGTTTCCCGTGCTTACAAGATGTGTTGATGCCTTTTACATAAGAACCAGTTGGATGAACTGAAACACACAAATCTAGTACCAGCCCCAGAACACCTTCCATCTTCACTCTTCAACTACAAAGAAGCTCTTGAGCACACATGCCATCCCAACACATACAAACAGAGGAATGCATTATGATTTTGGGGTCATTTGTTCAGACTGTAGATTTATGGGCAATGTATCCAACAGCTCACCATTGGAGCACAAAACTCCCCCCCAAAAAAAGTGACCACAAGCTGACACTAACTTTCTGAAGGCCCATGAACAAAGTGTTACACAAACATAAAGAGACGGAGGCAATTCAAATGTTTGTGAGCTGCGGTTCAGTGAAGCCCGGTGTGTTGGAGGCAGCAGGGATCAGAGAGGTGATCACCAACTCTTGACTCGGGTCCACACCTCGGCCCTCCTTCTCCTAGAAACATACAGATTCATACGGCTGGTATTAAAGCAAAGCATTACAAACATCAGTCATCAGCCACTTGAATGCAGCATGAGCCTTACAGTGTGAAGTAGAGAACATGGCACAGACTGTCAATGCACTTACTAGAAGATAGAAATGTGGTGAATTAAAATATTCACCACATTTCTATGTTGTTGAGATTGCCAGTGAAAAAAGGGGGATTCAAGATGTTCTACAGTTTGCAGACAACTCACAGCTCTGTATTCCAGAAACATCTCCTTAAAAGCCATGAAGTCAGTGAACGTCAGCATCAGGTCAAAGATGTCACCCGGCACCTCCTCTTTGTGTTGCCTGCAGGTGGAAGAGAGTAACCAGGGTTGGGGAATCCAATCACATCAATGCAATGTACGTTTGTGCCACCTAGTGGCAGGCTGCAAAATAATACTTCTTAGACGCAACAGGTGCATCGAACAAGCTACTGTTTGAGCGGACCGGTTGCTTTCAATGAAGTGGTTTGGTTGTTGTAGGAGGGAAAACAGCCAGAATAAGATGGTCTCAGGGGAGAGTTAAGATGTCACATCTTACATGAGCCACTTTATGAAAGTGTTCATGTTGAAGGCGGGGATCCTCTCCATCAGCTGCTGCTCCAGATGTTTCTCCAGCAGGTCAACCTACACAACAGCCACGAATGTTATCACGAATAAGGTCTTAGTTTACTTGACTACTACAGACAGTTCAGTAAATCCTAATCTGTGATAGCGCTATAGGTTGGAATTATAGACAAGTCGATATAATGCTCACACGGCTGAATAAGACGATGACAGGTGATACAATTCAGATAATCGTCATCGCCATATTCCTTGAAGAAAGGTGTGGGAGTTACATTAGGACATAGCGAGATGTGAACTCACATATTTATTGAAGATGGGTGTGTAACTGAGCTTGTTCTCGTCGGAGTCCTCAAACTCCAGGTAGTGTTGCTCCATGAAGCTCTCCTGAAGCTGCTGGAACTCCTCCTCTAAAAGCATTGAAAAGCATCCGACATGTAGAACAACACAGATCTTCACCATTAACGGGCAAAAGACTTCAGATTTACTCTGTACACTTTTCTGTCATGTACTTTCCACTATGCGAACAGAACAAACAAATACCAGACTGACGGAATTGGTTGAATAACTTTAAGAATCTAAATCCTGATTTCTTTATAAGACAACATTAGTTAAGATAAGATCATCTTTTATTAGTCCCACAGTGAGGACACTTTAAAAATATGCCTCATAAAGTCACAGAGGCCTCCATTTATTTTAGGAGAATGGCCACTTTTCTCTCGTTCAGTAGATCTATCCATTTGTTTTCTAAGCACAAAGACTGCTGAGATGCGTTTAAGACTACTATTACAATCACTTATTAATGTGAAAAATGTGTCTTTCACAAATGGTGAGATTGAAATATTGATTTAGAAAGGACTGACCAGAGCGGTCTCATCACTTATCCTACCCATGATGATGTCCTCGATGCAGCCAATAACGGCATCAAAAGCTGCGTCTGCATCTGAAGAGCTGGAGGGAGAAAAACAAGAGATAAAGATCATAAAGGTAGACTTTATATGCAGTTTATCACAATATCACAGTTACTATATGTATTAAGTGTGCTGTCTCTAGCTGTAGACTTGAGGGACGATGCCCTCACACTTCCTTTGAGCCTTGGAAGTAAATTCAGTTTTGACCTGTCCCAATAACAATAAATAAAAACTGGCGTTCCATGGCACACAGCTTCAACATTGAATTATTTGGCCTTTGCATTTCACTTAGAGCACTTTGTCTCACAAAGTAACGTTAGAAAGCAATAGTTACACCGTGTCAGTTACACAGCTCTACGTGGAAAATGTTCAAAAGCTGTGACTCTGGAAACACACCTGGAGATAGCAAAGATTTCTTCATCCATGTCGAGCATTTCTACGATGTTATCACAGCCTCGGTCTCCTGGAAAGTGAAGGCAGGCTACATGTGAACACGCATGTTATGGTGACTTAACGTTGGGTTAAAGCAAAACTGTTAGCTACAAAACACCTAACTTTAGCTAACGTTAGCAAATACAACAATACAACAAACGCGATATTTCGATCAATCACAAAGCTGCCTGTCTGGCCTAACGTTAACTGGTTTTGGTCCTTACTGAACTACAACATTAACGCAGCTAGTTAACGCTAGCTCGCTAGGGAAGCTAAAGGCTAGTCAACATTAGCTAACGTTAAACACATAATAACTATAACGTTATTAGCCTTGAATGAATACAAATATTCAGAGTTTGTGAGCTGTATTTTGAACTAAAAGTATTACTTTACAGCCCCTTAAGATAAATTAACGATAGTTAAAGGATTTGAATGTACTTACTTAGTTTCTGGATGTCCATGTTGATAAATATATCGTTAACGTGTGGTAAATAGCAAAGGTAACGTTGTTACCAAGGAAACGGCGAACGTATGTGCGCAACTGAGTCCCGTCGGGTAGAACAATATCTGCGCACATTGGTTCCTACCTCAGGACATTTCCACGGGATTATAGAAATTACACTTTGTGGACCAATTTTATTAATTGATTTATATTCTACAGAGATTTCTGAGACAAAGCTGGCTACTAAGTGTCGGGGGGAAATTGTTAATAGTTCTAATGTGACTTATATTTTGACTTAAATCTGTCCACATGTGGTTTCGGTATAGTGTGAACTTTGACCTATGGGCAATAGAGCAGGGGTTTCCTGCGTCTTCTGGGAACCAAAGTGGGGGCAGCTTCTCAAATGTGGGGAGCCTTATAGGAGACAGATGGCTACTTGATTTTGTGTAAACATCCCTCAGAAAACAGGAGACTGACTGACTGAAATTTGATTGACATGCAGCTTCCTGCTGATGGGGGGGAAAGGCGGCACTCAGTCGTGTTCTTAAGGCTCGCTTCTTTGTGGAGAAGTCAGTCTCCCTTGATCCTCCAGGGTGAAGGAGAAGCTCTCAATGCTATCAGCTGATTAGCAACGTATGACTTTGTTTTATTCTGTTTAATCTGTTAGTGCACATTTGAGCTGTTTCGGCTCGTTAGATCTGTTTGATTTTGTTTATTTGTTTGTATGCTTTTATAATTTTTCTATATCTTTATCTTGTAATAAATACTTAAAAGACAAAGCTTAAAGGTGATTTTTAATTTCTCTCATGGAAATACTTTAATTTCCACCACACTAAGATCTCACAAAACACCCTCGCTCCCTTTGCTGGAATTTCACTCAAATTAAGTAGATAGTTCGTAGTAAATAATCGTATTACAATCTTTTGTGTCAACAGTTCATGTATTTGCACCTTCCTTAGTTGCAATCAACTGTTCTTTGAAGAATCAATGTCTGTGAAAATAAAAGTATAATAGTGTTTAAGCCTTTTGTTTAGTTACGTGTTAATGCCAAGTGTTTCTGTAAAAAAACTTAAATTGGTGATAATCAGATTAGTACCTGTTCTTGAGACATTTTTTAGATGTAAATAAACACCACTCAGTCAGACAAAACAAATATCACATGGACATACATTTATTACAAATATCACAATCCAGGAAACGATAATTCTTCAATCACATCTTTGGGAACTCTGGGGCAGAATTCCTTTATAGACGTTTTAAATACGATCCACAACTTAATCTTTACAATCCTGAACTTCATCTCTAGCCATAGAGACAAACATATCATTTCTCTCACCTGCATGTACAGTATCAGGTGCTCCAGGAAATACAAGCGAGCAAAACAGTGACTGGACCAGTCTTCAGTCTCCTACTGAGAGAAGTTACCTTTGAGAAATCATTCCAGTATAGTCTGAATGATTTTACAGATCCTGTTCATGCAATTTGGTGGAGTAGTAACTATTCATAAACAAATTCAAAATTCATCATTGTGATAATTTGAAATGTCACCCGATTATATTTCTATAATTGTACAAATAGAATGTTTCTTCGGTCACAATCTCTCATCACCTGTTTCCAAAGTACAAACATCATTCAGTCAACCCAGAGATGCTTCAAGTAAAGGATGGAGAGAAAACAAGAGGTTCTTATCAAGACAGAGGGAGAAAGATGGAGAAATGGCTAAATGAGAGCAGCGAGATGTACTGTCATGTCATATAAAGCACAAATAGGGTCACCACAATTTAAATCAGTCTGAAAGATACATTGGAAGATACCCTTCCAATCTAAAATAACTTGTTTAGACAACATTTATTCTGTATGCTGTGATTGGAAGCAAGTGAAACATACAGTACTCTGTTCTGAAGCTCACACTCTTCAGGTCCTGGTACTGTGTTGTGGGTAGTTTGTTTGCTAATTGATGTCAAGTATTTTTCTGCCAAATCAGACCCAAAACGACATCTTAAAAATGACTCTGGGATATTTAGTTAACCCGATATTAGAAAAAAGAAAAAAAAAAACGATCCACTTAAACATTTCACATTTGTTTTAAGCAAGTTACTGATCTGCTAATACAACACTGTCCATCAACAAAACCTGCTGTGCTCCTCAACCAAGTTACTACATCAGCGTTCACCATCATTAATAAAACAAAATCAAATCACATATTGAGGATTGTAAATAGTCTTCTTAATACAGACAACTGTACGTGTTGTCATAAACAAAAAAAAATGAAGACATATTTACTCAAAGTCTGACTCGTGGTGGCACTGCGTCAAAGGTTGTCATCACCATTCAATCAATCTCAGATAAATTGTGACGGTGGTGGAAATTCAGTTGTTCACTTCTCCCTCACTGGCTCTTCATACATAAGCACTTAGAATTGTTATAATTGTAACTTTCTGTCAATTCTGATCTCTGTGTATACATCTGCTGTTTGTTGCATACATGACTGAGGACATATACCGTCTGAGAAGCAGCAGGGTCAGCTGTGTAAAAAATTACTTATAATGCAGATTCAAGTTGTTGTTTTTTTTCACTGGTTGTCAAGATTATTTTCGTAAACGTTCTCACAGCTGATTTAATTTCCAACATTTGTAAACCGAATCAGAAAACTATTTAGAAAAAATATTGGAATCGTTTCTGCAACTTTAAAGATTTCTGACTTTCTGAGTAAAATCTGACATTTCTTTTTTCCAAAAGGCAAACCCTCCCTGTGGGAAATCAATCAGCACAGACTGTGAGGCTGACAAAGGGAGACGTGTCGGTATAAGCTGGAGAAAAGAGAATGAAAATGCTACCTCGAAAACACCACAGTTTGCTTATCTACACCCCAAAAACATGAAAGTGAGATTCATCGCAAATGTATTTGTACCTTGGGGTTAACACTGTACGACAGGTGGTGATCTTTTCTGTTACCCTTTCTGATCTGCAGACGTGTGCGTGACGATGATGGGATTAAATAGTAGCAGCCTGTGGACTGAAAGCGCGGTGGGATCCTCATATCATAGAAAGGATGTCTGATAACTACACAGGGGCTTGCAGATGAGAGAATGGTTCCGTCTGTAATGTTGTTAAATTGTTTCTGCTCCTCGTTTCTGAAATGAACGCTGTTTATATAGAAAGTTGACAATTCTTGGCCCGGCTTCTGCAGCGAGCTGTCAGAAGGATACAAAAGAGGAGATGTAGGCCAATGGGGGAAAGCTCCCAGGGATCCAGCTGTGGTTTGAATCCCCCTCCTCTCATCTCCTCTTTTTCTTCACTCCCCCCCTCCATCGCCGCTTCCTCGTACCAGAAGTCCTAGCTCTGGTATCGTCACAACGCCGTGGCACAGCGCTCGTAGCCCTGCCGGGTGAGAGGGGATTAGAGGAGGAGGAGGGCGATGCTGTGGGGCTTGTGTGTCTCTCCTTGATGGAGAAGGGGCAGGAGGTTCGTCAGGAGACATGTGCAATGAGTCTGACGCGGGTCTGGATGTCCTGGCGGCACAGGGGGCACGTCTCTAACTGTAAGGCACACTCCATACACATACCACTGGAGGATAGAGAGGGGAGGGGGGGGGGGGGAACATGAAGGAAGATTTTACTATCCACTCAAAGAACAATTCTAGTCGGAAGAAAATTGACTTGAGTAATAGTCTAACCAACATATTATTTACAAAGACAAGCTGCTCTCAATGATATTCTATAAAACTATTTGTACCCAAGATATTTGAATTTCAACAGAATAGTTTGTGACACACATACCCGTGTCCACAGGGCCGCAGCTCCGTGTCCGCCATGACATCACAACACAGCGTGCAGCAGTTGTCTCGGATGCTAACCTGCTTTAGTAAGGCCAGACGCCGGTGTCTGTGAAACACACACACACACACACACACACACACACACACACACACACACACACACACACACACACACACACACACACACACGTAATTAAAGCTGTTTTCTTCTGTGCATATACACGTATTTTGTTACTTGTTCCAGTTCTTCACCTAGTTTGCTCCAATTGTAATACTCAAGATAGAGCATACAATGTGAATACATTTTTAGCTTTTTTATTTTTTGCTTATGTCAATAATAAGTAGACCTCTTTGTTTAAATGAAAACAAGTGTAATAATTATTTCTATGTCTAGATTTGAATGTTTAGTTTTTGCTGACATTGTGTCAGAGACTTCTTGGTTGAGCTACGGTAATGTTCCAGGTGGTGTTGTTGGGATTGCGATAGAATTGAGTGAACATCTTTCTGACAGAGTCAACTGAATGTGATCCTTTTAAGCGTCACTAAAGATCTTATGTAATACAGGCTGGTAGACCCTTTACATGGCAGACATTTAGTCTTGTCACATTCAAGTGTAATAAGTAACATTAATAGCGCATTTCATTTTAGTGTTCCACTGCCAGAGATTTGTGGATGCTGGGTGCCTGCCAGGAGTTACTAGAAACCCTGAACTGAAGAGAGTCACCACTAAGTGCCTGCCAAAAGACAGCTCTGTTGCTTTGTACACGTTAGCCAGTAAAGATGATGCGTGACCGTCTCTTGTACAAATATTGTTGTATTCCTTCAAGTCGTCCTTTAACTAGTCATTACAGTCACGAAGAGTCTACAGAGCTAAAGGCCAGCGAACTAAAGAGAGATCAAAATGCTCCATGTACGCTGGAGCGACCCCAGAAGTGTTGGACGCTGTGTGCAGACTAATTATTCACTAGTCAGGAGACGGTTAGGTAAGACAACAGATTGCAAACGGCCTTCCCAAATTCCAAGTCTATTTTAGACACTAAGAATCCCTCTGAGGACCAGCTTCAATTGGTTACCTGGGTAGGATGATCTTTTCACCAGGCAGCAGTGACGCAAAGTCGTTGAAGGTGCTGAACTTCACAGAAGGTGGGTGACGGAAAGGCTTGGCCCCAAAGTTAAACTCGCACTGCTGGTAAGACATGAAGCTGGCTGCTGCAAAGAAACCGGACCTGATGGACACAGAGGTGAAGGAAAGATGGGGGTTCATTCGAGAAAGGGACAGAAGAAAGAAAAAGGAAACACGCATGGGGAAAAGAGGAGGAATGACAGAAAGAGAAAGGAAAGATGTGTATGAGAGAGGACAACAGTTGAAACCAGGCACAGGACTGTGTGTGTGTGTGTGTGTGTGTGTGTGTGTGTGTGTGTGTGTGTGTGCGCTTACGTGGCTGAGGAGAAGACCTGTTTCTCTGGCGGCAGCTGATGTCCGTTCAGATAGAAAATCATCTGCTTCTTGCTGAGGTCCAACAGGAAACCGATGGCGTCTCCTAAACAGGCCACACACACGCAGAAGAATAAAGTCTTGGCGCACTGTTATTACTATTATCCAACACTCCGTGTGGGAGCTTAATCAGAGCCTGGCGCTGACGGCAGTGTGCGAGTGCTAAAAATCACAAAAGCACCCCAGAGACGCTCAATACAATAAAGAAGTTTCTAAACAAATAAGACATATTTAAAGCGTGGCGTCGCCTCTTTTCTAATTTTCAGTCAGACAAATAAACTTTCTTTGAAGTATATGGTTGAGAAACAGTAGTCAGCGCGTGTGTGTGTGTGTGTGTGTATTGCATACCCTCCTTCCAGCAGGGGTGAGAGTGAGGTTTACTGCGAGCGTTGTACCAGATGAGCTGCCTGCAGCCATCATACGCACACGAGTATTCATCGTCACCTATCCCATAGCCCTCCTGTAAAACACACGCGCACACGCACACACACACGCACACACACACACACACACACACACACACAAAACGCCAAATTATGCGACTGCAGAACAGACCGGATGTGAAAGAGCGGAACAGCACAGACACTGAAGAGGCGTACATGGTTGAGGAACTTGCTGTCCTTGGTGGCCCATCCGATTTGCATCACGCCCGATGTGACGACCGTCACCTCGTAGTACCAAACGCCTGAATCCACGCAGAAGGTGCAGCGCACGCTCTCAAAGGACGAGGCATCGCATCGCGCCTGAGGAGGGCAGCAAAGAGAGAGAGAACACTCATAAATCATACAGATATTAAATATACAGGTGAAAAACATTTATAAATCAGGCTAATGGGAATAAACTATTGAAATGTCAATGTTGGAAAAGGCATAATTTCCTAAGGAGTGGCTCTGTTGTGCCAATCTCATAGACCACACACACACACACACACACACACACACACACACACACACACACACAGACACACAGACACACAGACACACACCTCTAGTCCAGTCGGGGAGATCTTGAGGTACTCGCTGACATCATTGCTGTTGAGCATGGCGTTGATGTTGGTGAGGTTGACCTTCTCGTAGGTGAACTGACGACCCTCCTTTAGGACTGGACGCAGGATGAAAACATTTTCAAATTTCTTTCTCGAGCGACTCACACATGCCAACTCAAAGAGCCTGTGGCATGCGATCCGACACAAACGTACAACGTCGGAAGCAGCGTGGCTACTTGTACTCACACAGGTTGTCGAGGCTCCATTGCGAGCAGAAGCCGACCTGCCTCTTCAGGTAGTCAGGATGCTCCGCCCACGACTCCAGGACAGCCAGTCGATTGCTGATGCACGACTTGGACACCGTCAGTTTGTTCTCACCTGAGGGCAAGAAGATGCACCAGGCATGTGTGGTTTAAAACAGTCAAACAGTGTCAGAGATGGGCGGGACATCAGTGCAATACGTCTTTAAAGGCCGATGAAGGAGAGGCAATGTTCGGATTAACAAGCGGTTGTAAAACTTTGTAGAAATGTAATATAAGCCGATTGAGGCAATTGGCTGGTGGGGACTACAAAGAGGTGGAGAGGTGAATCACGGTTTTGCATTTGTACCAATCAGCAATTTACATATTGGTTTCAAAATAAACAGGAAAAAGCTGTTGATGAACAGAACAGCTGTGTCTCTACCTCACAGCATCATTTTTCAGATGCAAAAGTAAACAAACCACCAACAGGGAGGTCAGAGAAAGCAGAAGTTGAGACTTTGGCCGTGCCCGTTGTCATGGCATACTTTGATACGGGCACTTTCTGTTTCATCTTTGTGTTCTTTCGTAAAGGAAGTCACAAGATTTCAACCGACGCATCATGAATCTTCAATATGAGCCTGGCCTTTGTGAACTCACTGGTCTGGGAGAACTTCTCCAAAGCGATGAGAGCAAACAGCATGACCGTAGGGTGGGCTTCAGAGCTCTGGAGGAAGATGTACAGAAATCATCATCAGTTTGAAACATGTTCTTCCATGACACTTCGATAACAACACACGTCTTATATAACTAGGCCTTCTCTTATTAAAATCACGGTGAGCGTGCTTCCTAGGACAGACGCTGGATGAAACCAAGGTGGCTGAGAGTTTTGTAACCGACATGTCACAATGCCACTTCACTTTAGCGACTGTGTAACCATCACTCTACGAAGAGCAATGGCCTGCATACCTCCGTCAGCGCACTGACAGTCATGTAACAAATGTATCAACAAAACATTATTTTCCTTACACACCGCAACACATGTTGCAACTGCTTCATATTAAAAAGGACATTGTCAAAGGCAGAACTGAAAGGCTTTCTCTGAGAAGCAGCTGCAGGGTTTTTCCACTAAAGTTGTCTACATGTGGATGTGTTTTATTGCATCAGTATGAAACTAAATTGCAGAATTGACTACCTTACAGCTTTGACAAACACTCATTTGTAGAAACTACCACCCTGGCTGTCTGACATGGCTGGACTTCCCATCATACGTTCATTTGAAGGATACTGACATGTTAACGCTACATTTACACAGAGTCAGCATGTCATTTCATCTATGAAAAGCATGTAGCAGGATACAAAGCATTGTTGTTGATTAGGCATTTTGTAAACAAAAATGTAGCTTGGTTGCTGAGGGATCACCAGGACAGTGATGACCGTCCCAACGCAACATCGTGTGTGTGTGTGTGTGTGTTCTAACCAGGCTCTCTAGAAGGTACTCAAGGGTTCCAGGGCTCAACAATCCAATACTAGCCGGACCTAAAGAAGAAATGTAAAGAAACAAGGATAAAGTATTTTAACCTTTGTGTTAAGAAAGTGACTGTGTGACGTTTAGAGGAGCTGCTTCATGATTCTAAGATTATTTATTTAGACTGAGCAAAGCTGGTCTAATCTGACTTCAATACACCACCAGCCTGCACATAAAGATATGAAAGAGCATCCATGACTCTGTATTTATATTATACATGATAAATGATATATTACACGATTATTAGTAGCAGAAATAGTAGAATTAAACCTAAAACAATCTGCTGTTTGCAATGAGCTTGAACGTCGACAAGTCCATAGCGAGCAAGTAACCTTCCAATGGAGGTGGTGCAGAGCAAAGACTATTGACTCAAAGAGTAAAGAGTATCTCGTGTGTAAATGTGGACTTTACCAGCCAGTTTCTCTGCGAGGCAGCCCAGGACAGCTGTGGTGTTTCGGTGTTTAGCTGGGTTTAGAGCGTCCTGACGCGCTACCGCCGAACTCAGACTCAACATGTCCGACAGCTTCTGGAGAGCATCCTGATGAGAGGAGACGGAGCGGTTACTCTGACGGAAGTCACATACACACAGTTTCTACCAAACGATACAAACGTTCCAGAGGATGGAGAGATGACACGTTACAATTTCAGTCACAATGTTCCCAAATCCACACATGATTGTGACGGGAACTCCCCCAAAAATGTAAAGTTACTAAGTACGAAATTCAAGTGGGCGCAGGCACGCTCACACACACACACACACACACTTTTGCTACTGCTAGCGGTGATTCTCTGGACCAACAGCTGGAGAAAGCACACCAAAAGTAAATCAAATCTAATTCATTAACAGAGACAAAGTGTTACTGATGCAGCAGAAAGCACCATCAAACAATATCATCCATCTGCAGAGCTGCAGTGTCAGCACTTTCACACTCGCAGTTTGAGTCCAGCCTACTTATACGCACCACCTGCAGGCAAGAAGTTATTATTTCCTTTTTTTAAGCTGCCGTGTGTTTGAGGCTTTGCATTTTTTTATTTTAAACCAGCAAAATGTGTTTTGTTAGGTGAAGCATAATTCTGCTCAAATACTGGAATGACTACAGAGTTCATACTGTTCACAGTGTCATAGTATGCCCTTTGTCCTCGGGTTGCTTTGGACCAGGAGGCAGGGGGTCCCAGACAGATCATATTTGTCCAACGGTAGTGTGGGAGGGAGCCGAGGCCAAATGAAAACAATGCATGTGATGAAGTTAGAAGCAAGTTCCTCGAGGCGTAAAAACAGCTGATCATGAGGGGTTTTAGCTATGTCCCATTGTACATAAACTCAATCACCAAAATACAGAAAAGGCCATAGAAAGAGGAAGACAAAGATGGTTTTTATTAGAGCTGGGTTAGTTTTGAGATTTCATCTTAAGAAAGTTCTAGGTTGCAGGTCATATTATTTTAAAGTTATTTGCCCAAATGACTCCTTCTGTGTCACACACGGTTATTAGCCACTAACCTTGGTGGGCAGGGGACACTCATCCAACAGAAGGGTTATGACTGCAGGGCCAAGCGGATCGTCCAATGGGATCACTCGAATCAGAGACTGGACAACCTCCAGCCAACCATCATCTGAAGAAGAAGAATAATGTTCTTTCATTATAATAACACACACTTAAAGGAATCAGCACCGTTAGTCCCAATGAAAACAGATAACTCAACGGTAACTCAACTGTGCTGAAGTCACTTTGACAGACCTCTGGATTATGACTATCAGCTGCAACATAACATACTAAAACATCCATTTCCTGTCCATTAGATGAGTCAATAAGAAGCTCTCTCTAACACTTATGAAAGCCCCCACGGCCAACTGGCTGATGAATAATGTAACATCACGGCACATGTCAAACAGAAAGCGACTGGCTTGCAGCTTGGCTGCCTTCACGGTTCAGTGTCTGCAAGCTAAGAACCAACTTGGCTGTTGTCGAACCACTTGACACCACCACGCCATGAGAGCGTCAGACACCATATGTGCAAACACGACAATTCAAAAGGCTACCGCGTCTAAGCACAAACACAAACACACAGCGTGAGAGCATCGTTCCTCATATGTACAAGAAAGCACCGACATCGACTCAAGCTTCAAATAGAAACAAATCTAAATGAAAATCCGCCCAGTCAGTGAGCAGCGACCAACACATGATGCTGCAGTGTTTCAGCTTGTGACCACGGCCCTTCCCCAGGTGATGTAATGTGTTGGAGAAATGCTGAGGCAGCGATATTACTGCAGGACTGTAAGCAGCAAACACTTCAGTTTGACATGAATGACCTATTTTACTTTTTACTATTTTACTTTTTTAACATGTTGGCCATCAAAACTATGTTTCTTCTTAACAACAGAACAAAGCTCAACCCAATTATGCTTACTGCTAGACCTGCTTTTGAACAACACGTACCAATGGCCCCACACACACACACACACACACACACACACACACAGTATCAGAAGAGGCTAAATTGGAAAAACCATCACTGAACACAGGAAGAGGACTGTGACTGTCTGCTGCTTACAAAGCTACTGAAATATCACTGCCTCAGCAGTTCTCAAAAACAACCCACCAACTCAGCCTAGGGGGGGAGACAGCATATTCAGAAGAGACCCGTCTGAATTCATGGGACTCCTCATCCGTCAGTAGAAATGATAAATCTCGTAGATAATGTGTGAAAAGCTTCAGGTGTACAGCTACAGTCCGGTTGATGTTTTGTGCACATGACTAAGAACCAAGCAGGGAATCTTTTTGTCTGTTGAGACATTAGCCACTTCATCAAATCCCTGTTCCTGAGAGCCAACGTTCCTACATTTTCCCATTTTAGGACCTCTGATCGTGTCATTACAAAACAGGTGAAGAAATGCTTTTGCCTTAAATTGCATCACATTGCTTACCATATCTGTATTAGCTTTTCAACTGGACAAAGTGCTGTCTAATAACCCCATGCCCAGTGAGTGAATGAGTGCTTTTATTGTTTTCCTTACCTGTCTCTGCCATCTCGTGCAAAGTGATCATGGAGTAAGGGGGTTCTTGGTCACTGAAAAACAAAAGTTTGGGACAGAATGTGATAACGTGTTTCACCTGAATGCTCTACATCACAAACTCTGCTCTATTTCCTGTAATATATGCGTTTATTTATGTGCATACTTTACACAAATGACGGTGGCAACTTCATCTTTATGACACTGTGATCACTGTATATGAAACATTATCAAACAAATCATTCATGCCTCTGTGCGCTTAATGGCTGTGGAGAGCAATGTGATCCCATGGAGAGGGGAATCAAGCGGAAACGATTTACTTGAGTGGTTGTTGTTTTTGATGATGCTGCCGTTGCTTGTCATGACTCGTCCCAAGAGGAAAACTGCTTTTGTTATTACATCAGCCAACCTGATCCTCAAGATCCCGAACACAGCTAAGAATTACTGTGACTTAGTTTCGTGACCGAGTCAAACGTGAACGCATTCTTGGAAATGTACATGCATGTTTCTTACAGAGCAGGAGAAGTATTCAAAAGACAAGCTGCAGTATTTAGCAGTATTCAAATAAAGTGGATTTTTTTTTTCCGCTTTATCTTGCAACCGTCGTTTTATTATTTTAGTTTCTTGACACACAGATGGTGTACAATGTAATGCAGTTCTATTAGAGGTGGAACTGAATATTTTATTTACATCAATAAATCATCTGGTTACTTGATAGAACAATCATCTCTCGGCTATCAAATGTAATCGAAATGTTCTTTCGCCAGGAATCCAACACAAAGTATAGTTTCAGAAACAACCGGACAAACTGACAGCTCTTACTGAGAGTCAACAGAAAGTGAAGAGCACAGATGTACACATTCTCCACCATATTAGTCTTACAGCTGCCACGAATACTAAACTTCAACCTTGAAATTCAGTTATTAATTAACAAAGTTGGGAGAACTTTTTTTATGTACCAGTCCTGCTAAAATGGTAGACTACAGTTCATCTGTGTGGACAAATTGTGCGAGAATAAATGTCAATGAAGTGGAGTGAATCTGTAAATGTAAAATAAAATACGGGCAGTTCAACAAGTGGCTGATTGTATGCTGATAATATGAGAAAGTGGTCCGCTTCTTTAAACTATAAACTAGAATTCATAAAGCACATTTACCCAAACCACTGAAAAGCTACAGGTGGAGAGGAAACAAACGTTTGGAAAGGAACTCAATCTGAAACTTGTTTCTCATTAAGGTCGACGGAGAACATTAAGCGTACTAGCTGCTGCCATGAATAGGACCAGACTACACTAGCTCTCATTGACGTGGGCCTATTTTAACATTCATATTTTTCATTTTTCATATCAACTGGACACACTCAAACATTCATCCCACTCATATTTTCTTCTCAAAGCCACGCAAACCTGTGCTGATAGAATAGCTGTAAGTCCCAATGGGTCATGCTGAACAGCTTTTCTCTACAGAGAATGATAGCTTAGGGGAATAGGAGGATCAGGGAAAAAAAGGGCTTCAGCATCTACGAAGGCAACACAAATCTTACTACATCATTGCAGCAAGTCATGGCTACATCAAGAGAGGAAACGCAGTACATAAAGGAAACGGACTTGCACAAAGTGCTCTCCGAGTAGTTCTACCTGTTACAAAACAAAGACCTCTGGGGAGGATGAGAAAGGTTTTTCAGTCTGCAGACAATATATCATTAATCTACAGAACCGGCTAAGTGCAGAGCACATTTTAACAATAATTTAAATATAAATGGCATTGTCAAAGAGACAAGCGCGACCAAGCCAACACAATACGACATCAGAGCATCTCTAACGGCATTCGTTACAGTACTTCCCACAAGGGACTCAGAGTAGTGTTGCTCGGGTTTCTGCACAAATTTTACTGTGCCGTTTGTTCCAAATAAAGGACACAGGACTTAGTCATCGCAAAGGCGTGACTTTACTGTGTACCCTCTACTCCGTCAAAAAGTCGCGCGTGTGATGTTTGTGTGTCCGTGACAACAAACCAACCTTGTGTGACGCTTCTGCTGGAAGACAGCAGCGTCTGTGACATCTCTGGCTCTAGAGGGCACGAGTTTGACTGAGCTTCAGTGTCATGAGGAGCTTCTGTGGATGGCATTTTACCCCGTCTGCTCTACCTGATCCTAATGTTATTGTATCTCAAGTTATGAAAACAAACAACCCCATCAAGAAGATCCACATGTGCCAAGCCAACACTTAGTACACTTTAATTTCTTTTCCAGAGCACGTATACCTTTATGTCCACATTTAATTACTGCTACTTAAGTATCTCAACATAAATGACAATAGCATTATTTTGTTGGCTGAACTCACAAAAGACTTAATCTACTGTTAGTCTCATTGAAACTATAGAAAACTCATTTTTAAACTGTACAGTCCACTCTGACTCTTCCACCCATCATCTCTAGCTATATAATATACTTTTATCAAGACTTACTTGTCCACTAGTGTCCTGATGACAGCCAACGTGTCCAGCACCAGGCCATCCACATTCTGCTTCTTCCGCCTCGGCTCATGGGGCCCTCGCCCTCGCCGTGGCGGCCTGACTGGGTCCCTGGGTCTACTGCTCCGCGCCTCTCCGGCATCAACACCTACGCCCGTACCGTGATCCACCCGCCTGGCTTGTCCTCTGGTAGCCCTCGACGACCCATGGTGATGATCTTCCAAGTCGCTATCCTCCCGGCACACACAGCTGTTACCCATGGTTCCAGTGCCGGAGACCACACTGGCAAGGGTCTCCCAGACTGGACAGAGGGAGTTTGAGGAGGAAAGGAAGAGCAGAACCCTTGCAAGGCTCCTGCAAGCACAAAAAGTGATCCAGGTGGCTACTATCATATCATTTTGCGAGCTTGGTTTGGGGGTATTCTTGTCCCAGTGGGCTGGGTGGGGTCAACGTGAATGATCATACTGTTGCCAAGCAGAAATGTGGGATTGGTTTGGGAGTAATAATGGCTAGTCAAACAGACCAGGAGGGGTCAGGTGATGCAACAAAAAAAAGCTTTGAACATCATAGACAGCCCGAGGCTCGGGTCCAGTTCTCATCCAGGGCTCGCGTGGCTGTGAGAGCAACACAAACAAAACACAACACAAAGAGTGACATTCTAAGTTAAGTCTGTTCGAGCAGTATATGTTATTAGTTAGCAGCTGATCGCGTTCTTCAAGCAGCAAAGCTTAAACTAGCCGAAGATACACACCAATGTCAAGCCTGTGAGAAATAAAATAGTGAAAACTAGAGAAAATAAAATAAAATCAACATTGGCCCTTTAGAAGTTTATCTCTCAAGCAAAGTAGCGAATAATATGTTATTGTAATATTTCTAACATTAGCTGTTTCAACCTATAGTTGTCCTGTGTACGTAGACAGCTCGTCGTGTACTGAATTACTGAGACATTTCACTATTGATGATATACAAGATATTTTCAGTTAGCCGGCTAGCACGCTAGCCACCCACCCACCAAGCAGGCGTTGTAACATTAGCGGTTCCGATTAAAAAACCCAAGTCTCACAAACTCATCATTTCGTTAGTAAACTATAATGGTCCAGTTTTAACCGAAACACATACTCACGTTGCTACCACTTGACAAACAGCAGCATTGAAACTCGGTCGGTCCAGACCGAAGTAGTGAACAGAACAGAGCTAACTAGCCTGCCAGGCTAAGTGTAGCAGCTAACAGCTAGCGGTTAGCCGGTTAGCCGGTTTCACTCCTCTGATGCTACTGTCAAACTACACCAGTGAGCTAACGCGAGTAGCATTGATCTACGCGTGGTACTTAAACGCCGGTTTGGTATATGGGCACGTTTATATGACCCGTCTATGTTCTTTAGCACACCTTTACTGAACTCTAAAACAGCACATTCATATGACGGTCAGCTAACACCGCTCACACATCTTAACGAGGGTGCACCGCTAGCGGTTTAGTTCCGTAGCAGCTAAAAGGTTGTCCATCATCAGCTGTGGAGGAGGAGGAGGGTTTCTGTTGAAGACAACGTAAACACCGTTTCCCCTTGTTTGTATCTCCCTTTCTCTCTTTCTTTCATCTCCCAATGAGAGTTACTTTAGACATCATTGTTTTTTTGTTTTGTGTGTTTTATTTCTGTACCATGTATATGTTTTACGATACAAAGAAAGATGGCGAGAGGCAAGAATAAATGCAACAAGTTATAACGATACCATATGACATCAGATGAAAATGCACAAAGTAAAGTTACATAAAGTAACGTTAATTACATTAGACAAGAGTACCAAACAAGTCAGCTCCTACATTTGTTTTATGTAAGTAAATAATCCAGCAAAAACATAAATTGTATGAAGGGACGTGAATGCCAGAATGCAACTTTCCCAGAGTACCTGAACGCTCACCAGAAATCACAAGATTAAAAAAAATAAAATATGATGCACAAGGCAGGTAACATATTTCCATTTTAAAGGGCACCCAAATACATGGTGTCATAACTTTGAATATTTGAGTCTATATTGTGTAAGAATACTGAAATCACATTGACTGCTAGAACAATACAATACAGAATAATTGTGATATTATCTTGTAGTGGTTTCTTCTAACTTTACAGATAGACTTTACAGATAGAGGACATTTAATGGGAGAACTAAGGATCAAGAGGTTACATTTACCAGGTGAATCTAAATTTTAATGGTAAAAAAAAGAAAATGTAACTTTGAGAATCAGTTTTAGCTGTTAATTTTAAGAATAAGAATGTCCTTCTCTGTGTAATCATAACAAAAATGGTTTGACATCTCTAGGCTTCAAACCATAGGCTTTTATTTAGGCTGGGCTCTCACTTATATATATATATATATATATATATATATGGTGGTATACTTAATATTATCCTTTAAAAGACAGATGGGTAAATCAAAGCGTCAAAGACGATGGTTGTACATTGAGGCATTCTTTTTTTATTCACACTGATTCACTTAGTGGTCCATCTATTCTAAACTAAAACTTCAATTGAAAAATACCACTTCAAACAGTCAATCATGCATTTATAGGGTGTGCTGTAAATTGGGACAGTCGTACACCCTGCTTCGGTCTAGGGCAGTATTGAAGGTGGTGTTACAATACATCCCACTCTTGCACAGGTATTGGGAGAATCTTTGGGATTTCGGGTGGAAGGTACACGGTGAGCTTTCAAAGGTTGGAGGGAGACGTCCATATTCTCTGGAGGTGGTCCTGTACAGTGGATTCTGGAGCTTTGCCTTCAGCGCTGGCAGGTCATCTTTCACTGCTGCAGTCATCTTGCAGGAGAACACTGGGTTTCCAGGGTTGACGCATGGTTCTCTATGTTCTACCTGCTGCTTTTCAGAGGCTGACATCATTGCAGTGCCTACACAAAGAAAGGGACATCAGAATCCACAAACCACAGCTTTAGTACCAGATTATATAAAACCAAGCTAATTTATAGATAAATGTACAGTAAAACTGAGTGATGCAAAGGTTTTCTCTCATTTCGTTTACCCTTTACAAACAGTGACATCAACATCAAGTGTAGTACATAAATGTGTTAATGAGAATGAAATTATTTAGTTATAGAAGGATTTGATAAATCTTTAATATTGTACAAGTAATTTAGACATCTTTGGATAAAGTTTCCCCTGAATCTACTTGGGTATCTATTCCAAAAGTACTCTAAAGGAAAAGGTTGTCACACCTAACGCTACAGACTTCTCCAGATAAAACTGAAATGATGACAACTTTAGATGCTAAGCTAACGTTCTCGCAAGCTAACTTACTGAAGTAGCATCAACACCAAATGCACTAGTCCCTGAATAAAGTGCTGCATTTCCCATCATGTTATCAGTGTAATATAACGTTACCTTCAAATGCTGGTGACCAACACAACAATGTCTTTATCCAGAGCGCGACTCCAAGAAAAGGTGTCTAGTTACCATGGAAACCACAAAACAATATGTGGGACGTTATTTTCGGTTATATTCATTACGTCATTGGAAATGTAGGTAAGTTAAATAATCTTACCGAGTGTCAGTTTAGTAGAGTTTCCTAGACATTAAAACTGCATCTTTTTACTTTTATATAGAATACAGAATATATATAATATTATTAATGTTATTATTATTATTATTATTATTACTATTATTATCATAGCTTTTATTAATTGACTGTGACTGAATTGTCAATTTAACACATCATTTATGTAGTTAATACTAATATTTTCCCCGGCACGTGAAGGCATCAATGTATACGTCATCACCAAGCGTCAGCTGCTTCGTGCTATTACCGCGTCTGCTTCGCTCTATCTGCTAAGATACAAACTAGAAACTGAAATCCGCTTGTTGTTAACTGAACCATACTCAAACCCAATCGTTCACACACTTTGCTAAACTGTGTGTTATTTACTTGTTTTTTTTAGGCTTGCTGTTATATTTGTAAGGGTAGCAGTGGACTTTGACTGGCTATCTTCAACTATTACCACAGGTTGAAAAGTGTTGCTGTTTGCTTGCGGCTAACACGGCCAAATTGGAGAAGATCTGCAGCTCGATCCAGTGCTCAGAGGATGGACAGTGAGATCCAACGAGACGGAAGAGTCCTGGACCTCACCGATGACGCCTGGAGGGAAGACAGACTGCCGTATGAAGACGTCACCATCCCTCTGGTAAATGCTGTGCAAGCCGATTCATGTTAGCATTAGCAACAGCTTTGTTATATCTCTCATGGACATTTTGAACAAAGATTAGGTTTTCATTTAGGAGGATATGTTATTTAAAAACGAGGATTGCTGTCAATTCAGCTAATTGTATTAATGCCAGTGGAGGTCATGACAGGGCACTCGCTATCTTTTTTTGGGGGCTACCAGTCTTAAACAGGGCACAGTACAGTATTTTAGGCAAATGACAAACTAATTAAGCATGCTAGTAAGCAGCCTCAAGTTAGTCTTTGCCGAAAATGGGGGAGACTTAAGCTCAGGTGAAATCCACTCGATTTGATCTGCTCTCAGACAATTGTTTTTGCAAGGCTCACAAACTTTCAACACTGAGAGCAAGCAGCTTTGACTATGGTAAGAATAGAAAGCTTGAGTAGTCCTCTTTCAGGCTCAACACATGTGACGCTTGCAAATCAGGCCTTACATATTTTCATAAGTCGTGCAGAGCTTACAAACTTGCCCCTGTGTGCTTTCAAATGCTCACACACTAAGTTACTAATCAGATTTGTGTTGTACATGCATAGCAGTTGTGTCAGTAATGAACGACCAAAAGACTCCTGCCCTGTCTAAATATCTGACGTAAAAACATTCCTGTTTCGTTTGAATTTAGGTTCGTCTTCTGCTTTCCTCAAATATTCAGTCTATGTCTTGATGCCGTCATAATGTTGATATAAAGTAGGGTGAAGTGCTGCTCTTTGTTATGACACCCTTTTCCCTCCTGTTCTCTGTCAGACTGAATTGCCTGAGGCTGAGCAGGACAACGGCGGCTCCACCGAGTCTGTGAAAGAACAAGAGATGAAGTGGACAGACCTCGCCCTGCAGAGCCTGCACGAAAACACACCAAGCACTGGAAGCTGAAAGTCTAAACGGGAATCCGACTGTAGGACAGAAAAAGAAAGTGGACACTGGATTCAGAGGCACATGTGATGTCTTTTTGCATTGTATTGTGTCTTTTGAATCATTTGAATTATGTTCCAACTAAGCTGAAAGGATGGAAAATGTATTTTGCTTCGCTATTGGGTTTGTATTGTAGTCCTTGTAAATATGAATGTCAAACAACAACTTCATAATAACATAAATGGAAAAGAGTTACATTCAATGTCCTTCAAGTTTATTCTTATTTTGTGCTGAATTCAGGAAGTGAGGGCTGTGGACATTCACGTATTTGCACATACTGTGTGTGCTCTGTGTGAAAAGAAAAATGTGTCTGTCCACTTTCTATCATAGAAACATTGACCTGATTTTATAAAGTGGTGATCATAAAGAGCATCGAGTTGGCAGTTGGATAAATACAGAATACATTCCTGTCAGTCAGATCAAAGTCTTTGAAAATCAAACTATTTTCTCAAGGTTATCTCAGACCGACACAAAAGATCTATAAACTCGATAAGTAGTGAAGGAATAGCAACTAATATGAACATTTCAGTTTGGCACAATGGTACAGTCTTATTTCCAGCCTACTTATCTCTAGGCAGTGTATTTATCCATCGTATGCAAAGATATTTAGGGAAAATATAATTCCCTCCAAAACTGCCTTAAATTTTGTTGTATTTAACATTTTCCATTTGGCTTACAGTTGCTGGTGGCTGGTTCTGCATCTGATAGCACAAGCACTGTCTCTTTACATAGTGACCCAGGATGAGGAATCTCTGTAGGAACCTCCCTGGGGAAGTTTAAACCAGTAAAGAACATCCTGAATGTAGCTCCGTCATCACTGTATGTGTGCAACCTCTGCCATGAGCTTGCGAACGTGGTCATGTGGCCCCTTCCCCAACAGGGCCGACGGGTGCCGGTAGGAGCCCCCCAGACGATCCCAGAGCGTGAAGTACTGTCCGTAGTTGTAGTTGAAGAAGAGATGATGGTCTACGTGGTGCGCAGCGCCGTTGATCAGACATATCAGGGGGCCGGGGAGGCGGTAGTCTCCGTCGTGTATGGAAATGGTCCAGATGTTGACAAAGACAAAGAGTGAGAGGTAGACCACCTGTAATGTAAATATACAAATGTCATTTAAAACCACTGTACAGTTAAGTTTACATCATGTTAAAGTATTTTTTGGAATTCATTGCACTTTTTTTTACACTACATTTCCATCAAATCAAAATGTATCCATATGCAGCTGGACATGAAATAATTTAAGTCAAGTTTTAACATGGCAAAATATGCAGTAAAGCTTGTGTAATTATCAATACTGTAACCCCTCAGACCTAACGTCAAAATGTTTAGGACAGAGTGTCAGACCACCACCTTGTGCAGGGGAAAGATGAATGGGTAGACGTGATAGGGTAAGCTCTGCAGGAAGCCGTCCACTGGGTGGAAGGCATGGCTGGCAAGAGGCGTAGGGATCTTGAATGTATGGTGCTGCTTGTGTAAGTGCTGAGGGACAGGAACACAAATGGCGTCTGAATATTAGGACTTTTCAGTGAAAACATACACTAGGCAAACAAGGTACAAAAAGATCTACAGTGAATTAGAGCCAGAATCAGGAAGTATGATGAAAAACAGTCTTCAGATGGAAAAGACATTGCCCATATACTGTTACTTTAGTCTTATTTACTAATAGAGTTATGTTTGCTCCTCTGATGAATGTTACATTTACTCTCCTTTTAGCTCTGCATTGGTCTCCACCAACAACTGACGGAAACATCTGGCTCTTTAGCAGCCGGATGCTCCATTTCTTTTACCTGCTAGCTGCTAACTTTGAACTTTGCTCTTTACGCAAGTAGTGTAAAGTGGGTTATCACAGCTTTTTCGCTGGAAATAGCTGCTGAAACCCAGTTGATGAGAACAGTGAGACTGAAACAAAACAGCACAGTAAAGAAGTTGGCTGTAAAAGCAAAACAATGAAGTGAAAGATGCTAAAATGATCTGCGGAGCTGAGGGGAACTGCATAGTTACTGTAGGTGATAATTCTCAGTGCTTTTGTCACTACGAGTGACCCCTATCAAATTACACAGTCGTTTGGTTAATTGTTTGAATAAAAGATATTGTTTGGGAGCAGCATTAAACGAGCCATTAACATGCACAAGCTGACCTTGTAGATGTTCTTATGGTGCATGGAGCGGTGTATCCAGTAGATACACATGTCAGTAAAGAACAAGAAACCAGCGATACTCAGCAACAACCCAGGCCAGCCTGAAACAGAAACAAACCAGTATCTCATTCGGTCTAATTGTTTTATAACCTGTTTCAACAAAAGGAGGAGTACTTGACTGGTGGCTATTATCAGCTGACCTTTAGTCAGTCAATTGTGAGTTCAACCCCTGGGTTATAATGTTTCAGGAAACAGTTGTCTCACCCAGAGAAGATTCGCTGATGTTGTCATAAAGTTTGCTGTTTCCCTTGACCTCCAGGAAGAAAATGGCCACTGTGGGGAAGCTCATCCAGAAGATGGAGACCACTGACAGTTGAATCTCTTTTCTTAGCTGGTTCTGTTGTTGGATCACACACAAAGTTAAGATCTGGAACAAGTTTGCTTTGAAATAGTTGTCTGGTGTTTTCTTAAATAATAAAAACAGCCCCAGTGACTAATAGTTTACACACCCCAATCAATTCCTTGACCTTGAACTGGTCGATCCATTTAGCAGCTTACCTTGATGAACTGTGGATGTTTCATGAGCTTATGGTCAAACACATAGTAGAAGCTGAGAGCACCAAAGCCCAGGTAAATCAGCACTGCCCCCAGGTTGGTCACCACCCACAGGCTGATGATCTGACGCAGAGCCCCATCCTCAGGCCACGAGGCCGGGTAAACATACGGAGTGAAGATGTAACTATCAGCAATGTTCAGCACATGATCCATGGCACAGTCTGTGAAGAGAGGGATGTATGATCATCTTACGCTTAACCACCATGACAGCCTACTAAAGATGCGTGTGAAAGATAATGACCCAACAGCACTGTGACGGGAAAGAACTGAATAAAACATAATGTGCAAAGGTAACAGTTAGATATTCTGTTTCTTTGTGAGGACTCTGTAAAAGGCTTGTACATCAGAACTAGACGTCTTTTTGCGATTTAAAAGAAGCTGTGGATGCTGTGTCCATGCTTTGAGCTTATGGTTTATAAATCAACCTTTAAAAAAAAAAAAACGTCCTACAACATATAGGAGACACACCATGATAAAGTTCCAAAAAAAGATAGTTTTAATTAAACCAAATTAAAAGGTGAACTGAATGATATCAGGTATTGTAAATGTGCAAGACAAACTATATAAACTTAGACCAACAAAACAACTAGTCAGAGAAGAAGCAGAGAGATAAGCTAAGCAGACAGAGGGAGGCTGCTAATAACAGTCAAGGCCAACCGGGAACACCAGGCCCAAGTGTTCCCGGTGGACCATAGCGATCCCCTGCTACCAGGTACAGTATACGTGGAAAACATGACGGACAGATAAGGGAGGGGTAGGGTCGACATGTTTTCTAGATGCCTTCCTTTCAGACTAACCTGGACAAGACAGGAAGCTCACATACACATTCAGCATTGCATGAAACATTAAAGGGAAACAAGTTTAGTTTCAAGACAATGAAATTAATCATACCTGTAGAAATGCAAGCCACTATAGCTGTGCTACAATAGCTCGAAATGCTCCAATGTCCCCTTCTTTAACCCCTCTATTGATACAACTGTACTTGTTTGAGTGGATGCTTGTTAACTAGACTCTGGTTTCAAATGAGAGCACCTCTTCACCCTGGCTGCTGCTGATTAGACCAAAGTCCTGAGCTGGTTCCTGATGTGCTCTGTTTAACATGATTGATGCACTTCTCACCTCTGTTGTGGAATGACCATACGATGGTAATCACTGTGGAAGCAGGGAAGCTGTAAGAAATGCGGTTAGCAGTTAAGCAGCCACAATGAAGTTCATGCAATGAGTAGAAAGTGCAGGAGCCCCATGCAGGATAGAGCTTCTCTCTCTCTCTCTCTCTCTCTCTCTCTCTCTCTCTCTCTCTCTCT